TATATATATATATATAAATATACACACACAGAGTTGAAAACTGCATAACTCCCATCAAAATACTGCGCAAATACATAAAACTACCATATTAAAGAAAAACACTCATTAAATATTCAGAACAAAGTTTTATCTTTATTTACATCTTATTACACACCATTTATTTCTTTAATACACAAAAACAGGTGTATTTGTGCAGTTCTTTCACTCTTGATAGGAATTGCACTTGTGTCATTTACATATAGTTGGCAACAATTCGATATCTACAATCATTGTTGTATAAAAAGAAAAAAATAAACATCAGCACAAACATAGAAAAGTTATACATATTTGTTCAAACACACCCAGAAATTTACATTCAAGCATGACAATCAACAACAAGCCAAAATAAATTAATTTTTTCTTGGTAATAGGATCAATGACTAATTAAATCAAAAAGATAATTTTCCCACTTATTAACATTAACGTATGTTAATAAGCACATTAACGCACTTATTAATATTAACGTCTGGCACAGAATGACATGAATTATAAAGAAAAATCTGAATGTTCTATTAAGTTTTAATATTGTGTTTGCTTTTCTTTTATAGAGTAGAACAATGATGATTGTTGATGAATGATTCAGAAAATGATTTATAAATGTCTCGGAGCGACAGAGTGAAGCTGCCTGCTCACAGAAAGAAGTACTCTCAGGTGTACTGCTGCTTTCAGATTGCACAGTAACACCACATTGCCTCAATGTGTCACACGATCAAAGCCTCATCCTGTCGTGGAGGAAACATACTGCTGTGCTTTAACGCATCTGGACATTTTGTACATACACAAACTAAGAGACCAAATAAAAAGCTATATGCATGCCTCCAAATTATCCCCAATGAGTTTTTTGAAGAGAAGATGTAGAATGCAGATATTGATTAGACACTGATGCATAAATATACACTATACCAGTTTTTAATTAGTCTGCTGAATTGTAAATACTATGTAAATATGTAAACTACATCAATAAAGTTTTGACAGCATCTTTTTGGGATGCCTGAGTCGGTGAGCAAAATAAATGTTTCATTGGATGGATGTTAAAACAAAAATAAATACATTTAAACAAACAAAACAAAACAGTGACAACATTTTCAAGAGTGCACACTAAGACAAAAGAATCCAGACACACTGACTAAACACGATCATGTCCATGTGAAGTTATTAATGTTTCACCATATCCCTGAACATCAAAATAACAGAAGAGAAATGGTAAGGCAGTGAGTGAGCGTGTTTGTCTGCTACGTATCTAATGTGTCACCTTGCTTAATGTAAATATCTACATTTAAGACTGGACGAATAACTGGGCCACTGCACTGGCTGTATGACTGCAAATAAGAAGAACAGGAAACACAGCAGTGTGTTTTTCATAAACTTGAAACTCAAAGCCAATGAGAAGACCAGATTCTCAGACGGATTGTTTCCTGACTTTGGCCCGGGTCCACAGAAAAAAAGGGGAGCAAAATTCCATTTACTCTACAAAATCATCATCCTCACAACAGCAGCGACCATGCAACCTCTAATCTAACAAGGCACAGTGTTTCATAATCCTGTTGAGAAAGATTCTAGCTGTTCAATTTCCTTTTTAAAGGGTAGAGGATTGGCATTATAAAGACCAAGATAACTAAGCAGGCTGGTTGAGAGCAGTGGTTAATTGCATACACTACGGTGCAAAACGCTCACCTGATTTCAACATGGGAAATTAAAGTGCATCCCGCAGTGGTTCTCGGGTTTCGATAGATTGGACAATAATGCTGCTGGCCATTGAGCGCCCTCTACTGGCACTGCAGGCAGTTTGGACAGACTCAGGGGGAGGAGAGGGAGCAAGTAAGGTCTCAAAGTTTGTTGGTGTATAGCGTATCCTCATCACTTTCGCTCTCATCTTGAAATTCGTGGCTCAGGAGAGACTTTTTGGAGCCCACAGACATGAGGCGGATCTCGTCGTCATAGTCGTCCTGGTCCTGTCGCAGCCGATGGAATCCGTCTTTTTGTCGGTTTGACTTGGCTGAGCAGACGCACCAGATGATGCAGGCTGTCACGACCAGGGCCGTCATTGCGGCAGCTAGGGATTGAATAATGAAAATGACCAGCCATTGAAAATTTGTCATCATATTAATGTAGCATTCAAAAATGGTTGGTTAGTACTGCAAACACAATCAATATAGAGTACTTTAGCTCTTTAGTACTTCAGTGATTTGATCTGCCTACCTGCGCTTGCCACTACTAACTCTCTTGGAAGGCCAAATATATCGTTCTCCATGTCAAACTCAATAATAATGGAACTGGCTGCTTCAAAAGGCGACACAGACACCTGAAAAGAGTAACAGGAACCGTGAAAAAAAAATGCATAGATCTCATAGATAAAATAAAATGTAAAGACAATTAAATTACCTTTCAAATAAACTATATTCATGATTATATATTATTAATTAAACATAATACTCTCCATTATATTTATAAAAGAATTGTATAGTTTTTTATCATCTTCATTATTATACCGCTTAAATAAACAAAATGTTCTGAAAAACAAATAAACAAAACAAAAACCAAGAACAAAACCAAACAAAACAAAACAAAAACAAGAACAAAACCAAACAAAACTCACCTTCTGGGACTGTTGCTGGTAGCCGTCAGCCACCGCTTCAATGCTGTGTAAACCAGGGGCCAGAAGGGCATGGAAATATCCTCCCTCACTAGTGAAGACTCGAACACCACCATTCAATACTATTATAGCGCCCACGATGGGCTTACCGCTCTTATCCTTGACCACTCCACGAACCCCTTTGTGCACCTAGAACAGAAGAACCAGCTTCAGCAAAGGAAGAGCTGAGATGCAGTGGAGGGTGATGAACAGAGAGGCAGAGAGGAGGACAACAGACTGACCTCAACCAGCATGCTCAGAAGAGACTTCCTGTTCTCAGCCCAAAGCGTGGGCAGCATAGCAGCCGGTGGGAACAGGCAGCAGCTAGTGTAGACAGTGATCTCGGGACAGTGACCAAAGTCCACACTGAAGTCCTACAAAATGGAGAGGAAGCAATCAGAAATTGAGAAATTATTCGGAGGAATTAAGATTTTATAAATTATTGTGAACTAGTTGGTCATGACCAAAAATGGGCTTCAGGTCCATTCTGATTGTACTGCAGAGAGCTGTACATAAAAAAAAAAACATGCTAAATGCAAACATTTTTAGAATAGCAAAACACTTCCCATGTTTTAATGTTTTGACATCCAAAGCTGTGTGTCCAGTTTATGGTATTCACATTTTTTAAAATATTTTTTTATTCAATTAATGGGATTTTTGCACATATTCATCTGTCACTTGGTAGAAGCTAGCTAAATTAGACAAACACTACCCTTCAAATGTGTGAGGTCAGTAAGATTTTTTTATTTTTTTAAGAAATACACTTTTCAGCAAGAAAGCATTAAATTGATCAAAAGTCAAAATAAAGGCATTTATAATGTTACAATTTTATAATGCTTCTATTTTTTATGCTGTTTGAACTTGCTAGTTCTATTAAAAATGATCAGGGTTTCCACAAAATATTAAGAATATTAAGCAGCACAAACATTTTCAAAATTGATTCTTGAGCTCCAAATCAGCATATTAGAATGATTTCTGAAGGATCATGTGACACTGAAGACTGGAGTAATGATGCTGAATATTCAGCTTTACCATCACAGGAATTAATTACATTTTAAAATATATTAAAATAGAAAACAGCTATTTAAAATTTTAATATTATTTCACAATATTACAGTTTTTACTGTATTTTTGATCAAATAAATGCAGCTTTATATAAGAGACTTCTTAAAAAAAAACTAAAAAAAAAAATCTTATAGTAGTATTTGCAAAATAGTTAGTATGTAATCTACCTTCATGCTGCCCATGTGACTGTGCCATTCAGCTGCTCGAAGGACACCATTAGGGATGGTGCCCACTGGAGGGAGACAGGGAGAAAGACAAGAATAATTTATAACATCAACCTAAAAATGGTTCCTCTACCTATAAATTTCACAGAGCAGAGGCTGTTTGATTTAAAAATGTTTACTGAACATGCAGAGCATGTTCTTGTTACTGAAAAGATAAACTGTTATTTTATAAACTTGAAGTACGAATGGAAGAAATCAGCATACTCTGGCTGTTTGGACATCCAGTATCGCCCGAGTGCATTATGGGATGGTGTTTGGCATACACAGTAGCCAAATATCTCAGCGTATCAGCATTTTCAACTGAAATTGAGAAGCAAGGAACAAAACAGAAACGAATCAAGACACTGATGCAATAAATGTGTAATTTCCTAAAGCAGAGGATGAATCAAAACATACCAGATTGCACTGGTTTGTCATAAGGGTAGGTGACCAAAACGGAGCCTCCATCCAGAGCCACAGAGAGAGTGAAGCCTCTTTCCTGTATCAGATCCATAACAGCACTTGTCTCTGGCTGAGGTTCTGCAGCACGCTGAGACGCATTACCTACAGAATGACACATACTGTAAATGGTCAGCCATCCTGTAGACTAAGCAGTGGAATGCTGGCATTGACACACATATTAGTGAAACGTGAGGTATAATTTGAACTCAATCCCACCGAAGAAGTCATTGTCAAGGTCCTTGCCGTGCACATTGGTCATGCCAGCAGTGGAGGTGCAGTCTTTCTCTTTTGCCAGCTCACGCCCATCTGGGTTGATGCTGGGCAGGATAACAATTCTGGTCTCATTGATGAGCTAAAGATAGGAGAGAGAGACCATGTGAGGAACATTTTTGGGCTAAACATATAATGCAACACAACACAATGATCGAAATGAACAAATAACGCTCCTCAAAAGTCTGATGGATTATATTTGATGTTCACATTTTAACATCATTGTTCTAAAAAACGATGTATGGATAATCAAGTAAACCTGAATTGCTTTAGTCTATCTCGTGTTTATCTCGAAATAATACTAACAATGCAAGTTATTTTTAGGTTTACTTTTCTAAAAATCAGCAAAAAGACATGACCCGATCTGTAACCATCACGGGGGCCACTTTTGCACAAGAAAATCAACTCACCCTTGTGATGGCAGCATTCTTTCCGTAGTTAATACAGAGACTGGCAGCAAACTCCAGAAGCAGCTCTGTACCTACTGGGGCGTTTCCATGGATACCTGCCACAAACCGGATCTTAGGCTCAGACGGTTCTTGGACTTTAGGGTTGTTGGAGATCTCCAGAGCCCAGATGGTTCTGAACTCCACACTCTGACCAAGACTTCATAGGGGAGAAAAATAATGATCACATTACTGCAACAGTTGTGCTGCTTAATATTATTGTGGAAACCATGATACATTTGTTTCAGGATTTTTGGTGAAAGTTCAAAATTGTATTTGAAATAGCTTTTTTGTAACAATATAAAAATCTTAACTTCACTTTTGATCAATTCAATGCATCCTTGCTGAATAGAAATATTAATTTTTTTGGGGAAAAAAATCTTAATCTTAAATCTGAACAGTACTGTATTTCCTTCTCTGGTAATTTAAACTTGGTGACCTTAAACTTGGTTCAGCACAAGCTATAATTTCCAAAAATAACTTCTGGGACTAAGCCACAGCAAGACAAATAATACAGTTCACACAGTAACTTCATTGTGTACTGAATGCAGAGGTATTAATCTCTGTCATTCCAAAAAATCCTTTGCCCTCCAGGGTTTACGGTCACAGAAACACACAGGATTCAGTTCAGGATTGTCTGCAGAGATCAGACAAACTGACTAATACTAATCTAACTTGCCACACTTTTGTGTGATGCGTTTAGAGAGCTGTACCTTTGGAGTGAGGTAATCTCTGGGAAGTTCAGGGTGAGGCCACGTAGGAACTCAGAAACCTCGCTGTACCGTCGATAACGGAAGCTGCTCTGGGTGTGAGTGTCCTTGATCAGCTTGTCCAGTCCAGATTCTCCTGACAGCTGCTTGATAAGGCTCTGGAACTCCTTCAAACTGGGATCCAGAATTGGGGTGGTGTCTTCTGTCGTCTGCCCATTCGTGTAACTGTGAATCCGGGTCAATGTGAAATTAACAATCTCCGCTCCTTCCTTAGGTACGTTGACAAAGGTGCTAACTGAGGAGTAGCTGAAAAGATGGAAGAGAAAGTGAGAGTAATTTACAGTCTTATGCACAAAGGAAAATAGAAAATTAATATCCATGGTCCTGAATTACTCTTTCGGGTTGTTAAACAAAAAATATAAATAATAATAAATAAATAAATGAATAAAAATAATAAAAGAAATACAAATTATATATAATTAAAATTATATATATATTGGAGCATTATATATATATATATACAGTAGGCGCCAGTAGTCCCCTGCAGTGTTGGATGTGATGGGGTGATTAACTGTGTCCACAGTGATCGTAGCATTGGGGATGCCAGATCCATCTTTGCTGTCGATTACCATTCCCTTTACTCCACGGTGGACCTAGACATCAAAAAAACGTATTGTATAGAGTGTGTAGCAGGACAGAGGTGAAAAAACATGCAAAAGAAGCAGTCAGACTGTCTGACCTGATGGATGAACTGCAGAAGTGATCTGCGGTTTTTTTCCCAGTATTTCGGTAGATCTGCTGCTGGTGGGTATTTGTAACAGCCCAGTTCAATGGTCACCTCAAAGCAGTTACTGTTGACATAGTTCCAGTCCTGCATCCCTCCTGAGGGAAAAGCACATAATGCACTTATATTTACTTCTTATTATAGTCCTTTCAAATTTCAAACACCTTTATTTCTGGATATTATTTTAGGATGACAATATTAACAAAAGAAACGTAAGCAGTTTGTCAGGTGTCTGTCTGTACGACAACATTCAAAGTTTCCTTTTCTAGTTATTTATAAACTTGGTGCTCACCGTGGACATTGTACCATGCAGCACCATTGGTGATGCCATCTTTAAAATATTCTTGGTACAAATCCATTTCCTTACAGGAGTGTCCATCAAACATTTGAGAGTTTTCCTGAAAAAGAAAAACAGAGATTGTTTTACAGGCTATTGATTTAGCTTGTAATGATTAAATATGCTTAATGTCATTTGTTATTACAGAAAACACAAAGCCAGATGTTCACCTGTGAGTAAGCAAGAGCCACCATCCTGAATACGTCATCATCTGAGGACTTGCTGTATCCGCTAACATTGTCTAGATTATCGTCAAATGGATAATTCACCACCAAAGAGCCTGATAGAGATAGAGAGGTTATCTGTCTGTGTTTAACATGCACCAAATCAAACAGAACCATTATAGATTAGTACCTACCTCCATGAAGGTTGGCAGACAACACAAACGGGTAGCTCATGGCCCAGTTCATAACAGCAAGGGTCTCTGGCTGTCTGGGATCCGTGACAAAGTTGAACCGGTCAGGAAAGTTACGGTTCAGGTCATAGTTGTTAGTGTTGTTACGTCCCTGAACGCCACTGATATCTCCTGCACAAAAGAGAGCATTTTCATAACATTACATTCATAATAATAATAATAATAATGAATAAAAAATGTTGAATTTGTAAAATAAATATTGATATTAAATTAATAATTTATTGTTATGATGATGATTATTATTACAGATATTTAAAACATTTTATTATTATTATTATTATTAATAATAATAATAATAATAATGTTGGAATTATGCTTTTGTAGTTATAATGCTGCTCCCACACAGAAAAATTTTATAATAAACAATCATATTAAAGGAATACTGTTAATATTGATATTAATATTAATAATTTACTGTTGTTACTGTTATCATCTATGTGATTAATAATAATAACAATAATAATAATAATGTATTATTATATAACATTCTGAACATTCAATACAGTTTGAGGTTGGCTATTTCTGTCACACGTGTGACATAATATTGGAAAAAATACAATGCTGAACGAAGAGAGATGCATTTAACAGCAAGTACATCATAATACATCAAATGTGTATAATGAACTGTTTTTCAGAGTTGGCAAGGCCTTACCCTCTTGGGACACTTCATATCCATCTGGGTTCATTGAAGGCATGATGTGGATACGTGTGGAGTTGATGAGCTGGGTGATCTCAGGGTCAGTGCCATAGTTGCGACAAAGGTACTCTATGAGGTTGAGGAGCAGCTCCCGACCAACCACTTCATTGCCGTGCATGTTACCAATATACTTAAACTCTGGTTCACCTGGTGAGGAACGACAGGATTAGTTCACTTCAAAAGCCATTTGACTTTTAAAGATGTAGGATCTTTACACATGTGTAAATGAAGACGGTGGGAAGTACCTAACTCGTGGACACTGGGATTGTCGGAGATCTCCATGACCCACAGGAGACGTCCCTGCACAGACTTGCCGATGGAATACAGCCGTGTGATGGAGCTGTAATCAGAGCTGAACTTCTGCAGGAACAGCTGCATGTCATTGTAGTGGTGATGTCGGAAGTCCTGGGGCTGGACTGTAACCCTGGAGTCCTTCTCTTCATCTGCTGCTTTGTTGACACCGGTGCTGCTGCTGCTGCTGCTGCTATCTGTGCTGGCACTGTACACAGAGGTTTCAGTGGGGGAATTCTCATCATTCTCAGCTTCAAGGGTGATGTTCAGCACAGCTGCTTTTCCCTCAGTCACCTCCACCCCAGCCACGGACATGGGAATGTAGCTGCATGAACACAAAGATTGATATGAAACACACAGAAGGATAACTTATACATGAAACTTAAGTCTCAGAGCATATGATCAATTAAAAAAAACAAAAACAAAAACAACCATCAACAGGGATGGGTATTGATACAGATTAATATACTCAGATTCCACATTACAAGCTCTTGGTTCAATTCTACTTCAGTTCATTTGGATATATTTCAGTTATAATATCCACTTTGCTTGCACATGAAAGAAATTCTCTCTCTGGTTGCGCTGAATGGTTTTGATTCACTTAAAAGAGAATCATAAGGGTTATTTGTTTGTGAATCTGACTACATTGGTCATGCTATATGTTTTTGATTCACAACAAATAACTGGCTCATTAGAGTCATTTGTTCATGAAGCAGACTATAGTGGGTGTGCTGTATGTGTCTCCACCAAAAAGAAACAGTTCAAAAGAGTAATTTGTTCGTGAATCTAACTAAACTAGTCATGCTGAGTTGACCCTGAGAGGTCAGCTAAATATCTACAGCGGATCTAAAATATGAATAGTTAATTATAACTAGTTATGGTTAATTATTCATATTTCCTGTCATGAGCTGATTCGTTACATATAAATGAACTGTATATCAACATTTGCTTAAACATCCACATTGAAATAATTCAAAGCTATTACATTATTGTGGCAGATACGTCAAGCATTTAATGTATATCACAAAAAGTGGCTTTACACTTTAACATATAGTTAAAATATTTATATTTTGATCACAACTTATTTAATGGCCACTGTGAGTTTCCGTATGTTTGGAAAGAGTCATTTGTTCATGAATCAGACTATAGTGGGTGTGCTGTATGTGTCTCCACCAAAAAGAAACAGTTCAAAAGAGTAATTTGTTCGTGAATCTAACTAAACTAGTCATGCTGTATGTTTTTTGATTCACTAAAAAAAAAAAATCAGCTCACACGAGTCATTCATTTATGAATCTGGCTACATTGATCATGCTGTATGTTTTTGATTTATTAAAAAATTATCCGTTCATAAGAGGAATTTGTTTGTCAATATGACTACATTGGTCATGCTGTATGTTTTTGATTTACTAAAACAGTCAGCTCATAAGAGTCATTTGTTTCTGAATTGGACTATACTGGTTGCGCTATAATTATTATAACTGGCAGTGCTGTACAAATACATTTTTTCACAGCCACTTAAAAATGGCAGAGTGACAGAGGCAAGATGACGATTAATTGGAAATTCAATATTTTTACCCAGTCTTAGCCATCATATATATGATGAACACTAACCATAGGATTTTCCTTGGAATATTAAATCATTATATACAGTTTTCCTCATAAATATGTACCATACGTACCCCGGGGCTAAAACTGTGATGTTGTAGGTGCCAGGTAGCAGCAGACGATAGTAGTCACCAAAGCGTGAAGTGCTCACATTGTGGTTAATGCCCGCAACCATAATCACAGCATCTGCTAGAGGGGCATCATTCCTGGCAGCTCTGACAAAGCCACGCACGCCGATATGAATCTGAACACATGCATAACAACAAGGCGGAAACTCTGAAAACCAAACCGCACTGACATTCTTAAAGAGCTCATTAAAAACTCTCCATGCGTGTCATTGCTTGCACATCGAGTTCTACTACCTTCTCCATGAAGGCCAGCAGGGCCTCCTGATTGTTGTCCCATTCTGTTTTGAGTTGAGATGAGGGTGGGTACTTGCAGCAGCTAAGCTCCATAGTGATTTCCAAACAGCCCCCCTTCAGGTAATTGAAATCCTGCATACCCCCTGCATGGAAAGTAAGGACAAACTGTGTACCAAAGGCATGGTATGAATTGACATAGTGAGGTTGTCACGGCTCAAACTGTAGTAAGCATCTGCAAATAGGAGGAACATCTTAATACAAAGAGTCTTTCAAAAGGTATGAGTTCAAGAATGTTTGACCAGTTGCTAATGTTAGGACAATGTAATAAATGTGGGGGTAGGAAACTGTCCATGTAAGCGAACCAACTTTTAGATGCTTTAAAAAATAACGAACTCATTTGAAGATTGATTTCAGAATACAAAGAGCTGACAGATATGGGTTAGGACACGCATTGGTCATGTCGGTCTAAAAAAACTCTGCCACCGCACGTTTGCTGATGCTCCCTCAGATGCCAAGCCTGTGTGTGCCGAAACTCATAAAACACTTCTAACCCTTCAACCCTTCAAACAAAATGTCTTTAGCAATATATACTTTAGATACAAAGGAAACCAAATAAGCTAATGCTAGCTTGTACATTATACCATTCAGAAGTTTGGGGCTGGTAAGATTTTTTTTTTTGTTTGTTTTGTTTTTGAAAGACATTATTCTTTTATGCATTTATTTGATCAAAAATACAGTGTTTGAAATAAATAAAAATACTTTTTAGTTTTTTTGTATTTGAAATACAAATCTTTTGTAATAATTAATAATAATTTATGCATTTAGCAGACGCTTTTATCCAAAGAAAATGTTTTTACTGTCACTTTTGATCATTTTAATGCATCCTTGCTGAATAAAAGTATTAATTTCTTTAAAAAAAAAACTTTGACCACAAACTTTTGAATGGCAGTGTACATTAGGTCTTAATGTAACCTTATAACCATTTAATGCAGATACATGATGAGTCAAGCAGATTCATGTACCAAACCATCAAAAAACACTGGACCAACTAATGCTAACTTCAAGATGGAAATACGCAGTTATGCGTGTGTTCTTAAACACTTGAAAAGGTCTTGATTGTGAAAGATGTGGACTTCTGCTCTTTGCAAAATTGACTTACAGTTGGTCAATAGAAATGCAGTAACAAGAGGTCAAAAGGCTGTGTTCATGCAATGTAATTTCAAAGTAAAAGTCTGTCCACTTGGCAATCATGGCAACGGCCTGGGCAGCTATTTCAAGTCATGCAAATTCAGAGGACTAAAATGTCCAAAATTGCTTTCAAAGCTAATTGTCCTATGTTTGAAATGTCTTCTCTTCCCAGGATTAACCTTGGGAACATAAGAATGACTCCCTAGACAGAGCTGGAATTGTCATAAAATGATTGAATATTAACTTTAAACACGCAGCTGGTGGTCTGTAAATTTTCAAACTGTGTTGGAGACAGTCTCAGAGACAGGATTCAGGTCACCGAACAGGCTTTGAGGCTGGTAACTTGTTAGCATGGTACAATACCAGTTTCTAAACAGAAAAAAACAATACAAAAAGAATGAAACTTAAACTGGTTCACTTGTTCATTGAAACAAAGCTGAAATAAAATACAATTATTGAATAATAATTTTAGAACATTTATAATATTAGATGAAACTTTAGAATTGAAAAAAGAAAAAAAAAAGTTGTCTTGGCAACTAACTGAAATAAAAATAAATGAAAGCTACACAGTAATATTAATATAATTAAGAAAAATTGCAAAAGCCCTAAAAATTTAATAAAAAATAAAATGAATATATATATATATGAATAAATAATATAATGGCATATAATCAATACTAAAACAACACTGCTCTTATGATCTCTGTATGACTCAACCTCCACGTCAAAGATACCAGTTAAACATTATAAGGTTAAACAAACAACTAAAGATCAGGTGACATTTGCATGGGAATTATGCACTGAATGGAGTTTAACTCCAAAATGGGCGTCATATTTAATTTCGGGATTGATTATGTCATAATTTCTAGCGGTTTTGAAGGTCACCACCACCACATGGTGACTTTCGGTCCATGGAGCATCAGTGCTCAACATTCAGGAGAGATTAGGCGTTCACACAGCAGGTTCTCCTTTTGTAAACAGCAACAAACAATATGCCACAGCTTCATTAAAGCTGAGAAAATCATACCCAAATGCGAGAAGTGTGATTTATTCACCATGAGACTGGTTGAGCAAGTCTTAAAGTACATCATGGGTCTGACCTGCAAGCTTCAAGGAACATTGTGGATCAGATTTCTGCTGTTTGATGGTGATGGTTGAGAACACGGACTTCAGAGACTGAGGTTACAAACTGGTAAGTAATCAGAGAACACCAGAACAGTAAGCTTACAGTCCTGGTATTGGATTACTTGCAGGACTTTTGTCTTTCTAACTAATACCATTTGCGAACATAATAATCATTCCCAAACAACCAAAGCAATGTAATTTCCAGCATTCTTCAATTTTAAACTCTCCTAAACTATAATGTGGCTACTATTAATATCAATATTTGCAGTGCATGACTGAATGGTGTTTGTTTACGCAACTCATTATCACCCCCCCCCCAAATAGGAAATTTGTGGAGGAATGTTCTGAGTAAAGAAGGATGTGGGCGGAGCCAAAAAGACGGTTCCACTGAACTGAATGCAGTCTATGAGAAATTACCCCCTACTTGTGCTTTCCAAAGAGCTGTAAACAGAAAAGAAATCATTAAAACCAGCCATTTTTCAAGACCACTGAAGTTAAGTTAATCACTCATAAAGCTCATACAACAAGCACATCTTCATCTCTATGGAAACAAAAAGATTTAAGTCCTTATGAAATTTTTCATGACTGCTAGAAACTCAGCGGGTGAAATTCGGATAAACAGGACAAAGGAAAAGGGAGGGATTTAAAGCATGGTTAAGAGATAAAATGTTGCCAGCATACCTGCCACATCATACCACTTTGCTCCATTTGTGATGCCATCCTCAAAGGTCTCATTTATGTTTTCCACGCACTTCGGCTGCCCGGTTTTCATAACAGGGTTATTCTCTGCGTAAACCCGTGCCAAGTATCTGAAGAGAGCATCATCAGGAGATCTGCTATAGGTGCCCTCAGTATCATGGGCCACAGAGTCATCAAAAGGATAACTGGCTACCACGGTCCCACCATGCAGATTCCCAGAGAGCACAAATCTGGAAAAGAGAATCAGAGAAAGTCAGAAATGATATAATTAACCCATCTACTTCACATAAAATGTATTAAGATTTTATAGACACTTACAGATAATAAGATGAAAAGAACATGGAAAATAAATATGGTAGAGATTAATTATAAAAAAATATTGCACTTTACAAAAATAAAATAAAAAACATTATTATTTAGAAAAATGAAATATTGTAGAGCTGGATTTAAAAAAAAAAAAGTATATTCATGATATTTTTCATGACTCGTTTGTGATATTTATTCACTGGATTATTATTATTATTTATTTTTTGCACTTTGTGCAATCTCTCTGAAATCTTACTCCAGTAATCACAAACAACTGGAAAAGTCATATAAGTCATTGCAGTCTTCAAGAATATACATTTTTCTAATTCTAATTTCATAAGAATAATCATAATACTTGGTTTTGATTATTATTATTACTATTATTACGGTAACACTTTACAACATAGCATCATTTATTAACATTAGTTAACATGAATTAACAATGAAAAATTATTTTAAACCATTTATTGATTTTAATTACAACATTTATTAATACTTAATTGAAAACAAAAGTTGCATTTGTAAATATTAATTAATGGACCTAGGCAAACGTGAACTAACAATGAACAGTTGTATTTTTATTACTAATTAACAAAGTTTTTAGTTAATGTATCAGTTATTGCGCAGTTTTACCATCATTATTATTATTCGGGGGGAAAATGAATTATTGTAGAGATAAATTATGAATATGTATATTGTATATAGATTTTAAAAGGATAACTGGCTACCACGGTCCCACCATGCAGATTCCCAGAGAGCACAAATCTGGAAAAGAGAATCAGAGAAAGTCAGAAATGATATAATTAACCCATCTACTTCACATAAAATGTATTAAGATTTTATAGACACTTACAGATAATAAGATGAAAAGAACATGGAAAATAAATATGGTAGAGATTAATTATAAAAAAATATTGCACTTTACAAAAATAAAATAAAAAACATTATTATTTAGAAAAATTAAATATTGTAGAGCTGGATTTAAAAAAAAAAAGTATATTCATGATATTTTTCATAATTTTCATGACTCGTTTGTGATATTTATTCACTGGATTATTATTATTATTTATTTTTTGCACTTTGTGCAATCTCTCTGAAATCTTACTCCAGTAATCACAAACAACTGGAAAAGTCATATAAGTCATTGCAGTCTTCAAGAATATACATTTTTCTAATTCTAATTTCATAAGAATAATCATAATACTTGGTTTTGATTATTATTATTATTATTATTACGGTAACACTTTACAACATAGCATCATTTATTAACATTAGTTAACATGAATTGACAATGAAAAATTATTTTAAACCATTTATTGATTTTAATTACAACATTTATTAATACTTAATTGAAAACAAAAGTTGCATTTGTAAATATTAATTAATGGACCTAGGCAAACGTGAACTAACAATGAACAGTTGTATTTTTATTACTAATTAACAAAGTTTTTAGTTAATGTATCAGTTATTGCGCAGTTTTACCATCATTATTATTATTCGGGGGGAAAATGAATTATTGTAGAGATAAATTATGAATATGTATATTGTATATAGATTTTTAAAGAATAATTTCCATGACTTTTACAGGCAAAACTCTCAAGATTCTTGCAACCTCTGTTAGTAGCTGGGTTTTGGAACATGGTGGCAGGTTCCTAGCTGGTTTAATGGTCAATAGCTGGATCTTCTGGAAGGTCTGTCACAAAGTTAGGTTCGGTTTGTGAACGCTCTTACTTGTTCTGCAGGATCCACCTCATGACAGCAGTGCCTTCAGGGATGTCTTCTGCATTCACGTGTATCTCCTCAAACTGGTCTGGGAAACTTCTATTGAGGTCGAGGTTTTTAGCATTATTCCGACCCTCATCTTTGCCCGTACAATCCCCCTCCTTAGACTTCTCAAAACCATCAGGGTTCATGCTCGGCATGATATAAATATCTGTGCTGTCGACCAGCTCTGTGACCCGCGGCTCCTCTCCGTACTTCTCCAGCAGATACTCCAGCAGGTAGATCAGAACCTGCCGGGACACGGTCTCGTCTCCGTGCATGTTGCCCACGTACTTGAATTTGGGTTTTCCTGGTACATCAGCAGTGGGTTCCTTGGTGATTCTCATCACCCAAAGCTCCCTGTTTTCAACGGATCTGCCGATGCTGGTCAGATTTGCGATGTTTGCGTACTTCTGGGCGAGACTTTTGAGAAGGACAGTAAGTTGGTCGTAATTGTAGTATTCGCTGTAAGTCTCTGGCCCCTGATCTCTCTGCTCGTCTAGAGGAACTGAGTTGATCGAGCTGATATACACAAAAAGCAGAGATGAAACCAAGAGCGAGAGTTTATGCCACGAACACAGACTGTTTCCCCTCTGTCCCGACATGTTTCCGAAGGCACCTTGACGTACACATGAAATCTTAAAATGTGTCCGCCTGGAGTCGGATCCTTTCTTTAGCCTGACGTCGGGATATTTTTAGTAGGAACTTCCTGCTAACGCTTTAACAAAGGGCGGAGTTTCCATGAGAGCCGGAATTGTTTCAAAATAAAAGTCACGACTACAAATTTCTGTCTGTCTGTTGTAAAATAAGAGCACACCGGTGTCTGTATTTGAACCACTACAAATGAGTTGCTGTGTTTTGGAAAATGGTATTAGGTTTTATTGATGGCCTATCAAGTGCAAATAATTATCAGTTTGATATCTTTGTGTAAAATACGTAATTGTGGAGTTACATGACAGAAGATGGAAATAGACTGGCATTTGGGTGACCAATGTTGGGAAACAGATTTCTTCTCGTACATCTACTAATGACAAAGTTTTGTTTTCAGTACTAGGAGAGTCCATAGATTCGAACAAGTTACTAAAATAATTAAAATTCAAATAAATCTCTAGGCATCCCACTCTTTTTAACCAATTAATTAAAAATGTTTAACCAATACCTTTACATGACACTTCCAGTCACTTCTGGTTTATTGAATACTTTTTTAAAAATAAATAACCCATTAAAATATTTTACAGCCTGGCTAACTAGAAAAATGTATATTCATTATAAAAATATGCATTATGTTTTAAGATTTTATTAAATTGCATGACTTTTCCAGGTCTATAAATCACGTTTAATATCCAGGTTTTCCAGGACTTTAGGAACAGTGGTTCTTCACAAACATTGTTAAAATAATAAATATATTATTTTAAATCATTTTAAGGCCCTCTGGTTGTGAACCACTGCTACACAGGGCCTTAGGCAAGATTCCTGGTTAACCTGCACTGATGCAGGACTTTACAATTTTCTTAGTGCACTAAACACTTCGTTGAATGTAAGTTATAGCAGAATTTAAATATATATATATATATATACGTAACTCACATGTACTAATCTTCAACTGACAGATCCCTTGCAAATACTAAAAACTTAAGATCTGGGACTGAGAAAACAACAACGGACGGTCCAAGTCCTACTTGCCAAGAGCAAAATTTTATTTCTTCCTACTTCATAAAACATTATTTCTCTAACTTTACAAGGTAAATGTTTCACTACTATCCATTTTGCTTCATGAAGGAAAAGAACATAAAATATAGACATAAAGGAGAAAGGAAAACATTTTGAGTGCAGAAGAGATGGTTAAATATTTTACTTGAGGCAGTTTTATTTAATTGTTAATTCCATGCGGTTTCGTTGTAATACAGATTCCAGGTTTGTGGTTCCAGTCAGATATCCAGTAGTACAAACTAGTTTCAAGTTAACAAAGTACAGAAGAAATTATATGCATTATGTAGATTCGGGGGGGGGGAGAAAAATTTACTATTTCATGTACTCATGCAGGCTTAAAATCAACTATTTCTTTCTTTTTGAGACCGCCAAATGGAGACCTGCATTTGTCTTGGTTCTAAAAGCAACAAGGCTCCTTCAGTTTTATAGAGCCGCAGCCATCCATCAATCCACCCACCATCTTCAGCCTATGTGAGCAATACAGTATTTTAGCACAAATTACAGTCCAGACCACTGGTAAATGTTACTACATAACCACTACTTGGTGATATTAAGCATTTTGCGCCACATGGATATCAAGAAACTTGCTTCAACTTTCTCTGAAAAACTAAATTAACAAAAAGAGCACTTTGTTTAGACTTGCCCTTTTAAAGGTTTAATTGTTTTCTTTAACTGCATTTTATAATTGCACTAACACAGAAATATTACAGCTCAAACCACTAATAGTAGACATATCAGTAATAGTAATAAAAGTTAATTTCTGTAATTACATTAAGAAAAACTCAAAATATATCCAGCAACTGATACAAATGTTGAGAAATAAAGCAAATGAACATAAAAAAAGGAAAAATGTTGTACCAGGACAAAAAATAAAAATAAAAAAATACTCCCAAGAAATCTTTACGCTCTTGACCATTCAAAAAATCATAATTGAAGTTTGTTTCATGAGTGGTATATTTTATTTCAATTTAAGGGCTAATAAAACAGAATAATATTAAAAATCAAACAAAGGGAGAGAAAACTGGAGGCATCAAGCTGTTGAGCGCCACTCATAAGGTTGGGTTTGGTGGCTCCCTTTGTAAGGGTGTCTGGGGAAGGGGAGGGGGAGTGGGGTGGAGTCTCATATTGGCTTTGTTGTCTCATTGGTTTTCGTCCTCCACATCTTGCAGCGCCTCTTTATTCTGTTCCTCACCTGTGCAGAGAAACAAAGCCATTGTTATTGCATAGTAACAGTTATGTCCCTTAATGCAATCCACATGTGATGTGTTGTACATTGTCGCACATCATCAAGTTTGCAACTCTTGCCAGACCTATGCACTACGAGTTTGCCAAATTAAAAAAAAAAAAACTATAAAAAGCAAAAAAAAAAAAAAATATAACAAAGGACTGAATACATGCTGTGAGAAAAATAAAATTAATTTATGTTATATACATAGAATTTATGTAATTTTCAAGCTCAAATAATTAAATAAAAATCTGTCTTAAGTCTAATTTGAATGCAGTGTTATCTCACGTGGTCATTTAATGTTCACACATAATTCAATTCCCAAACCAAAGTACAATACCCTTAGACACCTTTACAGTACATTTCTCAGGAAAACATACCAGAATTTTCTAAATTCCAATATATTGGTACAACACAGCCATTCCAATTGGACATTGAGGATCTGGCAGTGACCATGCAGAAACAGTTCGTTTCAGACATGCTGCACATTTAGCACTCTGGTGGCTACAAAGATCGCAACACAAAGCTTACAAACAGGTGAGTGATGCAATTTGTGGACAAAAGGGCAAGAGCTGGAAAAAGTGGCCGCACTTACAAATAAAGTTTGTGGGCAATTAACATTTTCCTTTAGGAATCTAAATAGTGGGGATGAAAAAAGGCAAGATGGGTTAAGTTGGACGGCATGAGTTTGGACACATTACAAGATGACATGAAATGCAGTAGAGAAAGATTATACTGCTGGTTTTGCACAGAAATGCAGTGATGTGCACTAGGTCAGATGTACTTTTGAAATCAATAGAAAACAATTTAAAAGGTTTAAAAGCTATGACAAAATAAATACAGCCTTCCGTCTTACTTCTGGGGTAGGAATGCAACGTTTGAATTGATATACTGAATACACTACATTAGATCTATAAAATATTTATGCTAGAATAGAGTGCCAAAATGAAACACAAAACTACTACATTATATTGAAAAAATGATTTAATTTCTGGTGGATAAATTTAAATAGTAGGCATGTTTGCTTGCACATTTCCACTTTCAATGCAACCAGAGCCCTCTATTTTAACTCTTTTAAAGGCAGATATTAGAGATGGTTGGAAACTATGCCTCGCAAGTCCTAAATCGGGACACTCTGAAACAATCGCTCTAAAAATAGCTTTGGTTTGTGGAGGAGCTTTTGAGGATGTCACCTTCATGTACCAATGAGTTTCAAAGACATGTTTGTCAGGCTTAGCATCTGAAACTGCCATGATCCGTCTTACCGTCTCCCTGCATATCTGAAGTCCATAGTGTCAGGTTATCACGTAACAATTGCATGATGAGTGTCGAGTCCTTGTAGCTTTCTTCACTCAATGTGTCCAGTTCAGCAATAGCATCGTCAAATGCCGCCTTTGCCAACCTAAGATCAACAGCCGGGTACATAAACTATTAAGTTTCAACATACAAATGAACAGGAAAATACTGCAATAAATACCATCTTGGTCCGATAAGTACCAAAACACATTATTAAAAAGCTCGTTATTATAAACAGATACCATATTCATACAAATGTAATATGTGACCCTGGACCACAAAACCAGTCATATGTTTTGAAAATTGAGATTTATAAATCTAAAAGCTGAATAAATAAGCTTTTGTTTTTTTTGTCCGCCCACTCGCACAAAGCACTGCTGCTAATATAGCAATAGTTACCTTCGCTCTCAAACTACTTAAATACTTGCATGCATATTATGCAATAAACTTAGAGCATGCATATATATATATATATATATATAAAATACACATACACATAACTCAGCATCTTTAAATGAAGAGTTTTATATTTCTACATTGTTTTTAATTCTACTGTCACTCGCAAAGCTTCATGGCATTGTAGTTCTTTCCCTCATTAAATCTATTAAGTCTTGTACCCTTGTCTGTCTGATTTTCAAAAACTTTTCTGCTTCAAAAGAAGAGATTGTTCATCCGAAAAGTGCATTCTGTCATCATTTACTCACCATCATGTCGTTCTATGCTGAGAAATATTGTGAGAAATATGTTTAAAGAAGGTCTAGACCCAAATGCATTACCTTTTGAATGAACACATCATAACAATTATTTTGAATTTACAACATAATCTCGAACAATTATTTTGAATTTAGTAAAATTTCGTAAATTCTGTCATTTACTCATTTATCAGCATACAAGATATTCTGAGAAATGTCGGATTTGGCACGAAGGTCAGAGGAAAATATTTTGAAGAATGTTGGTAACCAAATACCTACGATAAATACCAACATTCTTCAAAATATTTTCTTTTGTGTTCGGAAGAAAGAGGAGTGACTAAGACAGAAGAAAGTCAGTAATACAGTTTTCAAACAATATGAGTGTAAATGATGATTGCTTCAATTGAACATATTAAAAATAAAATGCTAAATTCAAAACCATTTTAAGGTGTTATTTGTATTTCATTCAGGTCTAGACTTTTTTTTTTTTTTTTACAAATATATTTCTAAAAAACTATACACCATATAAATTAAATGTTTTGCTGTTTCAGTGTAAATCACTAGCAATAAAGTAATTGTGTAATTATGTACATGTATCATGATATTACTATCTGATACAACTTCACAATTTGCAACCAGATTGTCTCATCAAAATTAACTGGATATTATGTTTCAATTTGCACATAATATACCTGTACATACAGCGGTCTATTGTTATATACCTGTACATACAATTGTCGCTTTGTATATTTTTAATTTATTTAGATTTTTTATTATCTGTGTTTTTTTTGTTCTGTCACTGTCATTCTGTTGCACTGTGGAAGCTTCTGTCACGAAAACAAATTCTTCATATGTGTAAACATACCTGGCGGTAAAGCTCATTCTGATTCTGAAAATTCTATAAAGAAAAAAAAATGACACTATAATAGAATAATGAAACGGTAACCTCTCCATCATGTTGATGCTCTTAATAGAGTAATAAATGTAAAGGCATGAAAATACTGACAGAGGCAAAGTAAAAGGTTTGAGTAGCATTACTATAGGGGTCAACTTTATTTCATGTACAGGAATAAAACTGTAACAAAAACGTAGGATTTTTTCTGTGACTTAAAACACTGTTCTGACAGACTTGGATGCACATAAAGGATAACAAGATTAATTTCACAAAATTACTGTGTTGATATTTAGGTTCTAAAAATAATACTTTGGGTACAATTAAAATGTACAGACATGACTTGTGATTACTCTTTCAACTCAGTCATAGATGAAAGTGGTGTGTTTTGAGGTGAAATCATTCTCACAGGACACAGGTGAGAGTTCAGACTTAAAAGACTCCAGCTTTGCTTTGTGACTGATTTTAGTGATCTAATTTCATCAAGGTCATTTCTGACTGAAACATAGACAGTTAATAAGACAGATCATGAACATCAAAGTCCTTCATAATTACGACTTAAGTGACAATTACATAACATGGCCGGCTTGCTGTCACACCATGACAACATACAGCTAACCTACACACATACATGACATAGCTTTCTAACATTTAGATGTGACATAACAGAAGAGTTTCCAGGGGGCTGTTTCATAGAACAAGTTTACCAAATAAGCCAGGTTTATTTCCGTTAGTCTGACTTATTGTCAGTTGATTTGGTTCAAAATAAGTCTGACTAACTGAAATAAGCCTGGCTTATTTGGTAAACTTGCTTTATGAAACAGGCCCCAGGTGATTGTCATTGTTACCAAAGTTAGTCAACTTTTCCTTTTTAAAAGTAACAACAAATAAAGGTAAAAACATTAACATTTGACAGTGTTTTGGTAGCCTGTCTATTAGCGTTATAATTTATACATTTGTCCACAGACATTTGATTTCTATTCTCTGTCATTAGTAATGGAAGTTGGTTAAAAGAAACGTTTCAGCAAGGTTGAACAAAATGTACTCCACTCTTCCCCACATTTGACTAATTAGGCTAAAGACAATGCTGATTTGGTCATTGACAACAATCTGCAATTAAGGCAGGCAATTAGGAAAACAACGTCTTACTTGGGCATTAAAGGACAAAATGCACTATATTTCTGCATTGATATATAATATAGGCATGATGGAGGCCGATGTTTTAAAACAAATATCATTAGCCAGATAAACCAATCATAGATAAAGGCTACTCGTATGTGCAAAATCAATTGAGCAAAACACGTTTGAGGCTTCATGTTAGGCTTTGCACATTAATGTGACACTTCATAAAATTCTACTGCGTTACTGTAAAGACAGCTGGGTTGTTTTAGAAATATCTTTATCTAATATTAAAGTAGTTTTGGAGAGTCGTAGTAGAGTCGCTACAACAACCACTTACTGTATTTTCTACCTCGGCAAGGGAAGTTTTGGTGTAAACACATTAGTTAATTTGAGTGGAAGTCACAATGTTGGATTTTTTATTTAAAAACAACAAAAAAAATCAGTTAAGTCTATCTTATGTTGACATATCGAGTCTAGCATTAGAAATTAGGGTTACACGTTCAACAAATCTGCATTTAGTGTAATACTCCGAAGTACAGCAATAAAGGTGAAAGTAGCATTTCCTGATAATATAGAATGAAAATGTAGTAAAACAAAGTTACGTAGCGGTAGTGAATAATGATGCATGGCCCATCTTGTATACATTAGAAATGTTGTGCATAAATAAAACAATGTGGTGAGGATTCGGGCTACTCCATCTTTTATATAGTGTACCGCCCCAATAGAATCCGCTTCATGACATGTTTGACCGGTGCTGAGCCAGTAATGAATGACAAGCCAATGAAAAAGACTAAACTATTCGAAGCATGTTTGAATCTGCATTTCTGAATATTTTCATGTAGTAGATGATTTGTAGTGTGAATGCTGCTGTGTTCTAGGACACCAAGTAGTGTATGCTACCGCATTCAAAGCAAGAAACAGTCCCTTGTTAAGACACCAAACTGCTCATGTTTTAAGTCCAAGCAGGCTTCTTCCTCTTTTCTCAGTTCACAAGAAGCCACACACTAATGCTCCTCTCTCTGTAGTGTATGGTGTTGCGTGCTGACTTTAGTGTTTACTTGGTAAATATCTTCAATTATTGCATAAAATCTAATAAGGGAATTGTTGCAAGTTCTGTGAATGTTGGCATGAGACACAATGGCACAAGGTAATGACGAGGCGGGCAGGTAAAAGGCAGTAGTGAGGATGTGTGAGGAGCCGAAGTGTGTGTATGTAAGTGAGTGTACATCTAAGGGCTGCTAGGGAAGACAGTCTGCTCTCTCAGCTCAGTTCATCCTCTGGATTGTGCTGGTCCAGCAAGCGAACATGGGTAAAGGGAAAATGGCCATGCTTTCCCTTGCACTCACCCTCCCACTGCCCATTTACATTGATCTTGGTCACCTTCACCATGTCGCCAACCTAACAACACAAGACAAGTGTGTCAGAAATGGAGGAAATACTTAAAGGCAATGCACAAAATAACAAACTTAAACACAGAGAATTACAGTTCCACTGGGAGGCGCCAAAGCCAAAAAAACGTTATATTTCACAAAATTCTACATAAAAATACATTTTTAATGTACTAAATCAGTCATCTGTGACTGTGTTGTAACTAAAATACTGTGCAATACAAAAAATGCTAAATTTGTTACCTCCAAAGCAAGAGCAGTCTTGTCATAGGCATTGGGAACTCTCTTCTGAATCGCCCTGGCATAAACTGGACCATTCTGTAGATTGGGTAAGGATGTTGGCTGGGCATATTGACCTGGCTCGCCAAGCACAGGTTGAGACTGAGAACTGTGGCCGTCAGAGTTGCCGTGAGCTCCAGATCCTCCAACAGACCCCCCTGATGTTGGCGAGGCTGGCCGGTACTTCTCCACATAGGGCACGGGGATCATGCCGACACGGCCTTCTGAATTCTGAGCGTTCCACCACTGCTCCTCCGGCTTCTCCAGAACTCTTAGAATATCGCCCTTTCGAAACGGAAGGTCCTCGTCGTCATTGCCGGGAAAGTCGAAGAGGGCTCGGACATACTCCTCTTCCAGCCTCTGAGGAGCTCCTCCTGTTCCTGCATTGACGCTGATGAAGGACGAGTGCTTGGCTTTGTTGATGGGCTCAATGAGAGTGGTGGTATCCAGGTAGTGGATCTTGTAGAACTCCAACAGTGCAGGTAAGGCGTCAAATTCCTGATCTCCAATACGGAACCGAGGAGGAGCGAGTCCTGCAGGATGACAGCAAGAAAGCACAAATGATGGCTGGACGAATAAGATCTGCTTAACCTTAGTCTATGAAGTCTTCACTAAATAGTGGAAATAATCATTAAAACAATTACAATTATTGTTGTCTAAACATCACTATTTTTGAAAATACCACACATTTTTATGCTCAAACCAGGGGAAAAGCTGCGTTATTACTGCACATACAGCGTCTACAAGCAAAAAAAGTGAGTGTTTTGTCATAAAAACATATATGATTCACATTACATGATAAAACGTCTAAATTATCTAAATGACTGGACCAAAAAAATACGGTTTATATCGAAAGATAACCGATTATGTGTAACAGAGAATGCTAAATTACTACGTAATACTAGAATGACGCAAACTGAATGTGCAGAACTGCTCGTAGTAACGTAGACTAACCATGTTACACAAGTTTCTCGTCGAGCTGCTATGCGTTTTGCTAAAGCAGTTTTTCTTCGTCCCGTCGTTGGCAGTATATTTACATGCACCGCTTACCTGGTCCGGACTGGCGATTGCTGCTGATGCTGTTTATAATGTAATGAGAGACTTTGGAGTTCTCCGACACAGACAGCACGTAGTCCCCGGGAATAGTGATCGAGTCCCGCACCAGGAACACTCCATGCCTCTGCCCTTGGAGCAGCGAAACCGCGTCTTGCCGGCTTAATCTGCCCCAATACCAGCTCCCTCGGTCCTCCGAATCAAAATTTCCGGCCATGACTAGCGCAAGAAAAAAGCCCAGGCTTCACAGGCCTTCCCTTCGCCTCTCCTTATCCGCAAGCAGCGTTCAACTCATGCAAAAACTTTACCGCGTTCCGTTGTTGAACACGTTTCGAATACGCGCAGCATTCGCACACTTTTCTACGCTTTTTTGTTCCAATCGGGTAAGAAAACAGCCGACGTCGGGATCCCAACGTGCACGAGACACAAAAACTACGACTATTCGCCCAGATCCTCTGATAATTGTTCAGTGTAAACCAAAACGTACATTGGAAGTTGTCACAAGGAAGTTCAAATATTTCAAATGGCGGACAAGGGAAACAATTTTTGACCTTATTTCCCGGAAGTGATGCAATAACACAGTCGATTCAGACGGTGCCTATAGGTTGCCATATTGATGCGGTCAATGTTGAAAAAGAGGCCATAGTCCCTGCAGTTTCATTGACTGTTGCAAATACTTTACAATTGTATGTACTTTTATTACATAATTTGTGGTTTTTATATGAACACGCCTGGTTTCGTTTTAATTAACTTAGTAGCATATTTACATTTATTTACAAGTATATTATGTATTATATATATATATATATATACATTTTACATCTTTACATCCACACGATTAATGATATTCGTATTCATACTATTATTAATCCATAGTTTTAGTAATTTGTTTGAGCTGTGTTTGATAATGTGTGTATGTATGTAAGTGGATGTATTATTTTTCTGGCCAGTGTCAAAGACGAATTTCCGCTCTTTATTTAACTTTAAATAAAGTTTCTCAAAAAACACTATAGTCGCTAAAGAAAATCCAGTTCAGTCCAGTGGTTTATAGCTGGTCCAGGATGGTCATTAAGTCCATGGCTGTCCAGCTATTTTTCCCAGTCCAGCTTTATTGACCAGCTAGTATCTTGTTTGTTGCTGATGGTCTACCAGCCAATGACCAACTGAAAACCAGATCATGATTAACAACAAGAGTTACCGATTTACATTTCCAGCAGTCTAAACTGTATTTTTATAGGCCTTGTTGGTCCATGCTTATTTTTATAAACGAATTTTCTTATCGAACAATTAATAGCCTCGTTTGCTAATACACTCTAAGGTCGTTTGTGTTGTAAATTGCAAAAAGGAAAGAAACGGAAGTACGTAAACACTATAGTTTACATAAAACAAGCGAGTCCACGCACGAATGAACTGCCAACCACTAGGTGTCGACATCGATTACTGATAGCTTACGGTCCTCCTTCCAGCAGTCCCGTTCAATTACAGCTCAATGATCCGGTGCACAAACGCAATGCAATCGTTTACCTGTTTATTGTTTTTACCAGAGTTCTAACAGTCCAACATTGTATGTGCTGTTTAACGAATAAATTAATTGTATGTTTCTTAAAGGTTTATTGATTTTGATGCCAACAGTCAAATACATTTTGTTTTGTTTACAAATAATCATATACACATATTGCTGTTCCTTGTCATCCATAGAGCATTCTATTTGCTAACCATTCTGGGAATACAGAAATACTGACAAAATTCATTGATCATAGCTCCTCAGTGCACTTTTATCATCATAATACCCTTTCTGTAATGGCAGAACTTGTCTAGAAGTATGGCTTTGAAAAACAGCAGGAACTTTTGAGGCTACCTGGTGACCAAAATAAAATGATATGATAATCTGAAATATATTGGTTAACTTTATTACAGGAGCTTCCTTTAATTAGGCTTAATAATTAATTTTATAAACCATCATTCGGGGAGGGAGCTAATTTTACTTAAAATAACACTGAACAAGATTTTCGCATGCAAGCATGATATTACACAAAGGGATATAATAAATCCTAGTTCTCTATTACGTAATTTTAAATAATGAAATAAAACAACTGTTTTCAAATCTGTCTAATCAAATATACATTGTCTTTGAAACAATACTTTTAATTTACTGGCATATTAGAACTAGCTTGAATTACATTTAAATAATGTAACATTTTAATTAGGCACTAAATAGATGTTTATACTTTGAAATACCTTTATCATTTAATAACAGTGGATAAATAGAAACAAAATCTTAATATCATTTTAGTGTTTAAAGGATCTATTTTAAAGAACAGAGCTAAGAAACCTTACATTGACTTCAAAATCCATGTCAAGCAGCAACAACAGAATAACTATCACTATCATATAGCCAAACAACACTTTTTTTTCTGTGGAGTGAGTCTTTTCTCTTTGGCTTCAGTCCCACTGCTCTGTATCAATCAAACATACTGTTTTGGGCCAACATTGTGACAAAATTTTGGTTTTCCACTGTATAAATTAGGGGCACTTAATCTGAGCTCATCAGCGTCCCATCCACCTAAAACCTGGGACATGCATATTCAATGGACGATATTGAATAGAATTTAGGTTGTTTTCCACTGCTGGAGAGAACATGATGCTTGTGACAGTCAGATGCATGGATGGACACACCAATTCATGACATCCAAACCAATCTGCTTATATCCAGCATGTTGATCTAAATGTGCACCTAAACACACACACGCTTCTCCAGCAGGGTTTTGAACAGGCACATAGGCACACAGAGGTTCACAGAGGTTTATGACAAAACCTGAATCAGAAGGTTTATTTGATCTTTTTTATGATGGATCATTTTTATGATGCCGGAGAAAACCTGAATGACAAGGTATATTTAATATTTTTATGATGGATATTTTTTATGATGACGGGGAAAACCGGAATGAGAAGGTATATTTGATATTTTTATGATGGTTATTTTTTATGATGACGGGGAAAACCTGAATGAGAAGGTATATTTGATATTTTTATGATGGTTATTTTTTATGATGACGGGGAAAACCTGAATGAGAAGGTATATTTGATATTTTTATGATGGTTATTTTTTATGATGAACCATTCTGAATTGCATGACTTCATGAATAACCCAGTCTGAAAACAAGCCAGTCACACTTTCTCTTTTTCTTAAAGGGACGAAGTTTACAGACACTAATTTAATAAAACACCGGCTTCAATCAGGTAGCGTTGTCTGAATGACATGCTAAATGTATTTGGACTAAGTCTTCTCTTAAAGGCTCGATGGCTCCAGAGGAGTGCTGTGACTGGCTTGAGCAAGACAGATGGGAAGATTGGTTTTGGACGCCCTATTCTCTTTGCTCCAATTTGTGGATATTTTACATTTTTATGACAGTGAAGGGGGAAACCTGAATGTCAAGGTATATTTGATTATTATTTTTTTTTTACCTCATTAGTGATTAATTTCTTCATTTCAAAAACAGACAGCAGCAATGATTGTCTTCCCTTTAAAACCTGCTGAAGCCCATGATTTCACATGTAACCCAGTCTGAAAACAAGCCCATCACGCCCTTCCTACCATTCTCTCTTTTTAAAGTGATGAAGGTTACAGACTCAGAAATCAAATTAGACAGTGGGTTCAATCAGGTTGGACTGCCCGAATGACATGCTAACTGGTCTGGGACAAAGTCTTCTCTTAAGGGCTTGTTGCCTCCAGAGAAGTGCTGTGAAAGGCTGGAGCAAAAAGCTTTGTAAGTCCTCTTCACCCCCTTTTATTTGCTTTGTGACTGGATCTACACATTAACATGACAGTGAAGGGAAAAACCTGAATGAGAAGGTACATTTGATATTTTTTGTAACCTCACAAGTGATTCTTTTCTCCTTTGCAACAACAGACAACCGCTGTGATTGTCAACCCTATAAAACCCTTCTGAATCGCATGACTTCATGGATAACCCAGTCTGAAAACAAGCCTGTCACGCTTTCTCTTTTTCTTAAAGGGACCAGACTCTAATCAAATTACACAGTGGCTTCAATCAGGTAGGGTTGTTCGAAGGACATGCTAACTGGTCTGGCACAGAGTCTTCTCTTAAAGGCTCGATGGCTCCAGAAGAGTGCTGTGACTGGCTGGAGCAGGACAGATGGGAAGACTGGCTTTGTAAGTCCTCTTCGCCCTCTGCTTTGAACACCCTCTTCTCTTTGCTCCGCTTTGCAACTGGATCTTTTACCAGCCGCTGCTCCTCCAAGGTCCACATACTATCGTCCTCATCCTCCTTGCCTTGCACCTCCCTGTCAAAGTCCCGCAACTCCTCCATCATGTCCTCGATCTCCATCTCACCGTCAATCTCTTCTTCTACCTCAGATCTGAGTTCTCCCATACTCTCTGTCCTGTTTGTATCATCTGCATCGTCTTCATCCACTCTGCCCTCTGGCTCACTGGCCTGGCTCTCGCCGAACTCCAGGATGGTGGGAAGGTTGCCCTGTTTGGGGCAGCGCTTGCGCAGACTCACCAGAAATGGTTGTGGGAGGGAGAAGATGTCAACGTTGTTCCCCAGGTCGATCCAAGTGACGCTGGGGAAGCTGTCCGGGTCCTTCAGCATGTCCGTAAGCTCTTTGAGCACAGCACGGGTCATCCTGTTGCCATTGAGGGCCAGAGTCTCAAGGCGGGGAAGAGACGCCAGCGTAGGGAGGAGCAGAAGGAAGGCATCGTCTGTGAGCTCGGTGAAGCCCATCTCTACGCTGCCGATGCGGGATGCATGGTGATGCAGGTAGGCACAGAGACGCTCCATGTCTTTCACTCCAAGAGGGATGCCAGACAGTTCTAATGTCCCACTGGATGGAGGGCTTGAAAGAACTGATTTCAGACTGAGAAAGAGAAAAAGAAGCAGATAAAGAATAATAATGTGTATGGAGGTGTGGGAATTCACTTTTTATTGCATTTTATAAATCTGAACTGGAGGAGAGAAAATATGAACCTAATTAAATATGAACCGAAGGAAAGAAAATATTAAGAATTCTACAAATTCTAAGAGTTTACTAATAAAACTAGGACACATTTGCTGGTTAGCTGGTAATTTCATTAGGAACTGAAACATTATGTGGCAAAAATGATCATCTGGCCCTGTGCTGATATACAGTAGAATTAAAATAAAAAACATAACATGAAACAACACATGAAATGCTGCAAATAAATAAATCTAATATTTAAAAATATATATATAATTATTTTACTAAAATACAAATAAAAAATACAGTTTATTTTTATGAACATTATTGTGGCAAGAATATGTATGGCCATTAAGTTATCTTAAGTCACTGACACTGGCAGGTGTGGCAACAACTTAATGTTGGATCCTACATACATACAGCAGCTCTGCTCACATATTCAAATGGTCTCTTCCAGAACCCTATGCTGTTTGGCATGGACATTTCCTGTGGCAACAAAATTCATTGTATAAAATGTATTATAATTAGACTATTATAACTCTCATCCATACTATTCTAGTACCAGATTTTTACAAATGGAAGCACATGAAATTGCTAAAGTAACCGTAACAGTCATTAGTGTCTAAAGAAGACATGTAGGGCAGGAGCAAACTGACTTATATGAGTAGAGCAAAAAGGGCTTTAGAAAGGTTGAGGAACTACATTTTAAAATAATAATAATAATAAAAGAATAGACTATGCAGCTTAATTTATTGAAACTCATACCAGCTTTAACATTTTATTAAAACTCAGAGACTATCAAAGACTCAGGATATCAGCTTATTGAGGGGAATTGAGATCTGATTGAAAGGATTCATTTTCTGTAAATGCATTATTACAGATTCAAAACAGCCCCTGGAAATACAAACAACACAGAATTTAAGAGTTAATTTAATCATGATGTCAGTTGTTATTGTCAAATATGGATTAATAACCTATGAGAGATAGATAAATGGAGCGATATAGGGAACAAAAGACGAAGGCAGGAAGAGAAGCTGATTTAATAAGTAAAAGAGAACAAATGTGTTGCTTTAACCGCTGCACATGCAGTAGACTCATAATAAGCTCAGTGTGCCACCACAGCTTGCCAGTGTGCGAGTGAAGAGAGAAAGAGTGAAAGCGAGAAAAGAAATGGCAAGAATACTAATTCATAATGTGGCCGCTGCTAATTCACACCAGGACATGCATTTATCTTTTTATATAACTGGCATTTGAGGAAGAGAGAGGAATAATAAGCATCCTGATTTGACATGCTATGCTCATTCTGAATGATATATTTCCTGCCCCACTCTGATCCTGTCATTGACCTAGCAAATAAAACAGCAGCAAAGTCAAGGAAATGGCTAAACCAGAACAGGATATCAACTCTCCTGATATTACTGGCCAGGATCCCGAATCCCACGCTCTCTAAGAGAAAAAGCCTTTCCCTCTCTCAGCAATCTCACCCTGAATGCATCTGACCCACTTACATTCTCTCCTCAGCATTTGATCATTTCGAAATGTTCTCATTAACGAAGGAGGGATGTCAAGCTGAAATAATTAAACTTATCTTTTAGCAAAATGGCATTCGCCATGTGACTTATAAAACTTAAAGGTATAGTTCACCTAAAAATGAAATGCCACTCTCTCGTGAACACGCGTACAACAGTTAGTGGAAGCTAGAGATTATGGTTTATAAAATTGTAAATATGGATATTTTTCTTATATAAACGCATTGCTTAGTTTCAGAAGGCCTTTATTAATCCCCCGGAGCCGTGTGGAGCACCTTTTATGATGGATGGACACACTTTATTTAGCTTCAAAATCTGGACCACCATTCACTGCCATTATAAAGCTTGAAAGAGCCAGGACATTTTTAAATATAACTCTGATTGTATTCGTCTAAAGAAGAAAGTCATATACACCTTGGATGGCTTGAGGCTGAGTAAATCATGGGGTAATTTTCATTTTTGGGTGAACTATCCCTTTAAGACAAAAATTTCATAAGCTTTTACATAATTTTTACACTGCTCTTACATTAAAAAAAAAAAAACTCTTAATTGCCAAAATTGCTTAAATATCTCTCTGGTTTGAGGAATCATTGGTTGCATATGATCTGTTTTTCATATGCAATATATGACACAAAAGCAGCTTTTGACTGCTTAGAAAGCAGGAATGGATATACAAGGCTGTGTGTAATCAGAGATTTAGCAATCTACTTAATGCTTAATTTACTTAATGTAGCTTTTTAATGTATCTGTAATTTAAATCACCCCTTGAATGAAAAATGCTGCACAATGCAAAAAAGAGAATGACAAACAAATCTACATTTTCGATTTCTTGGTTAGTATGGAGTCTTTACTCCCATCATTTGCATTTTTTTTCACTCAAGACTAATTATCAGCAGGTGTGTGCTGTTAAAAACCCTTCAGTTGCAGCGTCTTTCCTGTGACTGTAAATAAAATCAGGTTATTATGTCAGTGTGATAGATTGGAACAAAGATTTGACTTAAGACATTAAGGTTGAAGTTTCTCATCCGCAGCTCTACAGAAATAAACCCTTTCAATTACAATCAAACTGAAGAGCAGCAGGTGGGTGGGAGGGTGTCAGAGACGTGCCGTACTGTATTGCATTGTTACAGTTCATTCACATTCTGTCATAGAGGAAAAGAAAGGAAAACTCAAACACCCAACCCCGAAAATCAGTCTTCTATTGAACATAAAAAGTGGTATAAGAAAATTACTGCAAATCCATCATTTACATAGTTGGAATATATCTCTGTTTAAAAGTTTGGGGTCAATAAGATATTTTTAAATAAAGAAGTGAATAACATAATAATACGAAGAAATGTTTCTTGAGCATATTGAGCATATAGAATGGTTTCTGAAGACTGATATGACTGCCAACTGGAGTAATGACTCCTGAAAATTCAGCTTTGCCATCACAGGAATGAATACAATTTAAATTTTTATTACTGTTTTACTGTATTTTTGATCAAATAAACACAGCCTTCAGTGAGCATAAGAGACATATTTCAAAACTATTTAAAATATCTTACCGACCCTGAATGTAGGTCAATAAAAATGGCCTAAGACCCTCGGATAATATGTTGAAGACTCTTGGATAATAATTGTGGTAATTATGACCAATTAAGTGCAGAGTCTATCATTATACTGCTCTAATCTCCAACACACTGAAAAGTCAGCACTGTGTGACTATCAGAGCAAAATGAAGGAATACCATCATTGAAATAAAGCCTGAAATAAACCTTCTTTTGCAGTGGATGCAAGGATTCGTTTTTAGTTAAAATGTTGCTTAGTATGATGCACAAAATATTCTATCATTTAAAATAGCAAGCACTTTTCATGACTGCAGTACACTTTGGTCTCCCATTGCTTTGGGTTTATATCCTAATCATACAAAAATCATGATTTTGACCTGATCTGTTAAGCTGATATTCAATTAATTATAATAAAATCTGTTTGTTTAATATGTAGTTATTTTGTTAAGACTACATTTTACTGTATGAGATTTTCACATAATAAATCACATAATTTGGATCATCTCAGTCCATTTTCTCAATGTTTATAAATACTTTTTACTCTTAAAAAAATATAATATAAACATAATATATAACATAGCATAAAAACGAAAACAACTAATATTTAGCTGACTTCCTGAGATTGACATCCAACATTTGACATTCGGGTCAAATTTTGTACCCTTTTCGTGCAAAATGCCAGCAGCTTTAAGCTCTCCGTGTAATGACTTTATGTGAATTTTAAAAGCTGAGTTCAAGCAATTTCCTTTGTCAAACAGCTCCTTTTTACCCTTCCTCTCAGGCATCAATGACTCTGACATGACAGTTGTCTGGACGGCTATGCAAATCAATAAAAAAAGCATTAATGTAAAGATACCACTAATTGGAGGCAGGTAGTTGCCATGTGCCAAATGAAATGTCTAAGTCGCTGCTTGAATAAAAAGAGACAGGGAATGAAATTGAAAAAGCCAGAGATGCAGAAAGCTGTAAGGAACAGGGCAGGAATGAATATCAATAGCCTATTACAATTTCATCATCACGCCACATTAGAAACCTGCTGTTTCTGCTCTCAGACAGTAAAGAGCATGAGCAGAAGAGGACAGGAAGACAACAAGAGAGAAAGAGGCACGAAACGAGAGCTTAAGTCACTGAAAAACTAGCAAAAGGCAGAACTGTGAGGTAATCTGAGGCGGCATTAGAAGGACTCAAGAGATCATATGAGGAGAAAATAGAGGGATGAAAAACAGGAGGGAAAATTTAGAAGGCAGAACGAATTCAGCAGACATGCCTGAGAGATGACAGTATGATTTCACAACAGCCCTTATTCCACACCCTCATCTACTCCTGTTTTATATTCTCAAATCCCTTTTTCGTTTAACACAACTCTCTATCTTTCTTCTCCCCTCACAATTCTAGCAATCAAAAACCAGTGAGTTTGCTCTTAATGTGGGTGTTATGGAGGCAGATCATATGCTAAAGCTAGATAAAACACTGTCGCCTCTGGACATGATGATCCAGAAAGCTCCGGTCTTCCTGTGTTGAGATGAGAGAGACATTCCTCACCGGTTCCTGACAGCCGTGGGCTGCTTGTTATGGACTAAAGGGTCTCCACTGGACTGCAGACGCTTCACCACATGCAGACCAGACGTGCACAATGCGTTTCACATTTCAGTCCATGAAACAAGGTCATGTAGTAGTAGGTCTATGGCATATTAGATTCCACTTAACAGGTTTTGTTTCGAAGAAGCAATCCAAATAATACAGCTTTCAGATATCTTGTGTTCATAAAGATCTGTTTATATTGTTCCATTTGCAGTAAGCAATTTGACTGTCGACTAATATATTATATTCAGTCAGAGTGTGTGATACTGTTAGCAAGAAAAACGCCCCAAACAAATGCAAACATTCAGGTCTTTTTCTCACACCTGCATTAAACAGATTTGGACTCATCTGTGCTAAACTTTTGACGTATACTGCTGTGCTAATAAATAAACTTTATCGTATATAAAAGTTGAAGTTAAATGCATGTTATTGGATAAACTAACAGACAACACATCCGGAGCAGATGTATAATTTCCTCCGGTTATATGTAGAATTGCACATCAGAATTGATGTAGCTTCAGTGTAAATATTTGCACTGGAGGCACATAGATTAAACTGCACACACACTATGAGCAATGCATTACTCACATAAACACACACGTACCGCAGCCCAACATCTGTTACGTGTGAAATCTCTCAAAGAAAATGGGACACCTGTCTGAGAGACTGTCTCAGTCTGACCGGCGGACGAGGTTAAGGTCATGTTAGCACTTAGCTATTACTAGAGCAAAGAGGGTGGAATCATTAAGGGAGAGAGAAAGAGAAGGGTAACTGAAGGAGACATAAAATGATGAGAAACATGAAAATTACAGTTAAATTATTTTAAGTTGACGTACCAATATTACTAGAAATAAATCTGAAATAAAAGTGATCAAAATAAAAATCAATTAAATTTAAAAAGAAATGTTACAAAAACTAATATAAACGACAAAAGCACATTTAATTACTAAAACTTATACTAAATTTAAAATGAAAACTGAAAATATGAAAATAAAAACTAATTTAAAATATTAATTAATATTTAAATAATATTATAATAAATAATAATAATAATATAAATAATATTATTAAATAATAGTATACATAATAATAAATTGACATTACTGAATTTTTCCAAAGTAAAATATAGGATGCTCTTTCAGACCTCACATTTAATATACACTCTTAAAAATAAAGTTTCCTTATCGACATTTTTAGTTCCATGAAGAACCTTCAACATCCATGGAACCTTTTTCAATTGCACTAAATGTTCTCTGTATTACAAGTCTTCTAATACCATATGAGAGCTTTGTTTGAGAAACAGACCAATATTGTTATTGTTATTCACTGAAAGTTTTCACTTGAAAATCTGCAGTGCACTCACCATTTACTCTCATTGTATAGAAACAAGCAGCTTGCTTATTCTGCTATAAATTATTCTTTTTGTAATCCATGAAAAAAAGAAAATCATATCATATCATATCAAATCTGGTTTTGAAACACAAGAATTTAAGAAAATAGTGACTGAATTTTCATTTTAGTTGAACTATTGCCTTGTTTTCTGTCCTGTTTGCACTTTGCACCTTCAGGCTGTGAAATTATTTGAGCTCCTATTTCCACTGGACAATCCCTTTATTGCCGATCTGATGAAATCACATCAGTAAACTCAGAGTTCAGGCAGAACAAACAAAAGCGCTTGAGGAAGTTCAAACAGAGAATAAGGAGACCCTCAGAGGCACACAAGCATCGGCAACACGCCCAAGGAGAGGAGAGAATGCTGTTTGAGAAACACTTCCCTTTTTAAACCCCAACAGCTGCATCTGTGACAATAACCCACGTCACACAGTACAGAACATAAGCGTAACAAATGAAGAGCCGTGTGTGGTGTGACTCAGACAAACAGCAGTGCTCCATCAACAAAAAGCACCCGGTGAGGATTAGACGACACAACCGGAGCGGATAAAAAGAAGAAGGTATCGAATCCGGTCTATGCAGAACACATGCCTTCACGTTCCAGCTTAACCAAAGCAGTCGATGCAGAGAACGAACTGCGGTAGGGGAGTTCAGCTGTTTTATCCTTGCATACATAAGTTAGGGAACAGTGTAAAGCGTCAGCTAATCTAAAGTGTATCCATCGACACAGGAAATAAATAGAGCCTAGTATTTCCTCATTTACACATTACACGGTCTGTGTTTTGACTATATTAATGGCAGTTGGAAAAGAGCCACATAAGTATGAGTCTACACCACAGAACCATGTGTTAGCAAAAAAAAACACGGCACGCAGTGGGAGGCTGCTCTTTCATTCACTGACTCACTCTGCAGAATAAACACAGCTCTTATCATCAATGGACAGAGAAGAAAGTGCTGAAAGCCCCATTGAGGAGCCAATTCACAGGTGATGAGATTTGGATGGTATACACAGCTGTTCTGGGGATATAATATGCGATATTGTGTATTAAAACAATTTGGGGACATCAGAACTGTAGAACCCAATCCTCATACGAAACGCTTCATTAGCCATGCGGTTTTTAAATCATAATTAATCCCTAAGTGCTGACGAATCAGTACACGGACAAACAACTGGCAAAGCGATGAATCATTTTGACTGCCTGCTCTGCAAATTCGGAAAGCCTTTCATTTTTAAACCAACTAATCACTTTAATAAATGAACAAAGTGAGGCACTTGTGAGCCACTAGGCTACTGTGTGTGGGCTGAAGGGATACAGGCATCAATGTAATTTATAATGTAGCATTAAATGCAATGCTTTCATGTGAAATGAAAGTACTTATGTGGCAGGAGAGAGCTGGACATCAGAGAGAAAATAAGAAAAGAAACAAAAAGGAAAAAAAGAGGAAAAAGAAAAGGAACCAGAATAGGAAACATTAATGGCCAACATTAATGGCCCTTCGTGGATAAGGATTTTGCTAATGAATCAGTGAATCATTTGTAAATCAATGTGACTGATTCATTAAAAATAATTCATTTAAAGGAATGATTCACAAACCGTACAATAATATGGCTTGCATGCAAGTTTTACCCTACAGAAGAGCTATGTAGCCAAACAAATATTTGAAAATGTACTGCATATTGAACAAATATTTATAACAGAAGCTCATTACTTTTACATGACTTTTAAAATATCATTATTTATTATTTATACAATATTACATATTTTAGATAGCATATATTAAGTAATTATAAGATAAAGCATATATTCAGCAAACAGTGTTCAAAGGTTTTGGGGTCAGGATTTTTTTTTAAAGAAATTAATAAGCAACGATGCATTAATTTGATCAGAAGTGACAGTAAAGACATTTATAATGCTACAAAATATTTCTATTCCAAATAAATGCAGTTCCTTTGAACTTTCTATTCATCAAAGAATCCTGAAAAAAATGGTTTTCACAAAATATTAAGCACCACAACTGTTTCCAACATTCATAATAATAAGAAATGTTTCTTGTGCACCAAATCAGAATATTAGAGTGATTTCTGTATCATGTGACACTGAAGACCGGAGTAATGATGCTGAAAATTCAGCTTTACCATTACAAGAATAAATTACGTTTTAAAACATATTAGAAAACCATGATTTTACTGTATTTTTGATCAAATAAATAAATGCAACCTTTGTGAGCATAAGAGATCATTAAAGCCCAAACTTTTGAACATTTTTGTATGTGATAACTAGAATAATGTATATTAACTAGAAATATCTACTTTTAATATTACAACTAATTTTAAATATTAAATTCTTATCAGGTTTTCCACAACCATGGGAACCCTGAGAAGAAAGACAAGTCAAGAATAAACAAGAAGCGAAACGCTGCAAACTGAGCTGTAAAAAAAACCCCTATTGTTGTACTGAGGAAAGTAAGGCAGCATGTGCCCTCACTGCCTAAATCTGAGACCCAATCTCTACTTGTCAGCTCTGCTTTCTCACCAGGCCTGTGGCTTCCTCCTCAGCAGCCCCTGCCGTCTCCACTGGGAGTGCGGGCTCAGGTGGTAGGTCAGCTGACGGCACACCTTCTCCATGGCACCCAAAGCATCTCCCTCCTGATAAAGACAGAGAGAGAGAGAGATCAAATCAATCAGATGTAACACACAGCAGGTTAATGGGGATTGGCAGAAGATCAGGATATCTGAGCCCTCAAGGTAAAATATTTTTTTTTTTTTACATTTATGATGACAGAGGAGCAAAGCTATATGGACTGACCGACATGTCACAAACACAGTCTGGCTCTATCATTAGGTCATCCGAGGTTCTGTGAGTGTGTATGTGTGTGATTTGGTAAAATGCATAAGCATGTAATGTACTAGCGACATATTGATGTATTGTATGGCTATCTCTGAAAAGCTTTATTATTTTTACTCACATTCATCACTGCCTAAAGCAATTCAATTTGCAGAGAGACACGAACACTCATACACACACTGCCTCGAGTAACTGCCACACTCCTCCAGACAGAAACGATTTCTGCCAATGTTTAATACGTAAGTTACAGAAAAAGAAAAGCACTGCATACTCCTGCAGGGCTGCCAATAATTAAATCTAGGGATGCACTGATGTTACAATTCTGGAAGATAACCAATAGATGGCTAATAAATATTACAATTCTATACTATTTTGTGAATTCAGAATTAATTGGGAGATTTTGTATGAACATGGATACTCATTTTGAGATTTGGTAAAGATTATATTTAATATTCTTGATTAATTATAATAAACTATAGAAATTCAAAGATGACTGCAGTGGTAATCTAAATATAAAAACAATTAAATATCCAATACCGTCTGATGCCACTGTATTTAAAGAAAAAATGTCTCTAATACAGAACCAATACATCATGAATCCATAATTTAATCTGAACCAACATGCTGTCATCAGTGGAGTTATTGTTAACTAAAACTAAAACGTTACAAATAATTTTTGTTAATAGAAATAAAGCTGAAATAAAAAAAATATAAATGTTAATTGGAAAAACTTGAAATGTTTCCTTTGGCAACTAACTGAGATAAAATAAGTTTAAGCTTAAGTAATAAAATGACTAAAACTAAACCTGAAATGAAAGCTAAACAGAAGTATTTAAAAATCACAAAACTAATAAAAATGACAAAAGCACATAAAATTACTAAAACTTAAATGAAAATGAAAAAGAAAACGGAAAATATTTAAATAAAAGCTCATTCAGAATATTAAAACACTTAAATAGTATATAAACAATACTAAAACAACACTGGCTGTAATATTGGAACACATTTCAATTAATTATTATGAGCTGCAAAGGTGAAATCCTAGTTATGAGGGTTTTTTTGGGGGGGGGTTGTCCATTAACTGTAATATTGTTTTGTCACATTAATCACAAATGAAATGTACAGAGGTTTATTACTGGAATTACATTGATTTGCTTCAGGTAATAAATGAGGTCCAGTGCACTTCAGTGAATGAGAGGGCACTGCTCATACATGACTAGATTACCAATTATCTGTAGTTTCAAGTACTAGCACTGGGCCAAATGACATTTGTTTTATCAGGAATCCAAGATAACAGTAACATAGTATTTCATCAAGGACACATTGTCTGTGCTCAGGTGTCTGTATCCGCACTGGAAACATCAATATGTAAATCAATCTGGCCATCACATCTCTGCTGCGCCAGACCTTGACCTCTGCAGTGGATCAAAGATAGAACTATGTCTGTAAAAACACACAAACTATGTGTTAGTAAAGCCTATTGGCTGCTGACGGTGAGATTAACAAAGCCTCATGGCTGGTCAGCTCTGGTGCGCATCCACCTGCAGACAGACAGTGGGCCCCCTGGTAATGTAATTATACACCCAGCGGGCTCTGACAGCTCCGAGAGTGTAACAGACAGCCCAGCTTTCCTTTCGTCACATCACTGAGCTCGTCTCTACTTTGTCTCTCTCCATCACTACTTACAAAAACATCACTTAGAGAAAATGTCACCTTACGCACTAGTTCGAACTCTTACTCTCCCCACTTTTACTTGACATTTTATTATGTCTGCTTAGTTAAAGTTATAGCATATGCATGTTTCTAAGGCTGGTTCTCAATTTTTTTAATAATAAAGTGCAGGTCAAGGACTGGCCATCTGTTAAGGGTGTTTCCCCTGAAACATTTGGTGCTCAAGAAACATTTCTTATTATAAATGTTGGAAACGGTTTTGCTGCTTAATATTTCCTTGGAAGACATGATTTGGATTTTTTTTTTTTTAATTCAGAATACTTTGATGAATATCAAGTAAAAAAAGAAACACATTAATATAAAATTTTTCATAAAACAGAAATCTTTTGTAACAATGTAAATGTCACTTTTGATGAATGTAATTACTGAACTGCAATTTGAACTGTAATTCAGAACCTACAATACAGATACTACTATGATATATAAAATTCTCTACATAATAGCCTATACAATAATATTAATTAATTTTCTTTAAGCAAAATATAATTTTATATTTCTTTCTTTTGATTTTGGGGTGAAATAAATCCAGGACATGTTCTTGACAGATTTCATGAGAAAAGAGATGATGAGCTCAGTGTAAAGAAAACAGTCTGCGACATCCTTGTTGTTTTTGGTGGAGGTCAGGTGTTTGTGCAGCTCTCTATAGGAGCTGAGCAGGGAGTTAGTGGTGTGATATTGTGCCTGACTTGCTTCATTAAGTGCAGCAGCAGCAGCAGTCTTGGAAGAGGGCTGACTGGTCTTTAGTGTGTGTGACTCATCTGCGAATACACATCCCTCTGTCTCTACCCTCTCCGCTCTCTTCATCTCTGCTTCTGCCTCTCATCAGAGACTTGCACATGCTTAAGAAACTGGATTTCATCCTAACGCTCACTGCACTGGAATGGTAGTTTCATTTTGCACTTCTTTCTGCTATGACGTCCAAGCAGTGCTATAAGGTACTTTTCATTAAATATTAACGTTACACAACATAAAAGAAACATACAGAAATAGAACAGAAATGGTATGTGTGTGTGCGTGTGTTTAGGTGTGCATGTCACAAATCACAGAAGCACTATACCGTCTTTGGGCAGTGAATATATTTGGCCAGGCTGATAATGAGATCATGGGTAATGGGATCCACAAGGTTGCGGAAACTGGCATAGCGGTAAAGAACATCGTCCAGAGAGGTTGACTCCATTCCCAGATCCTGGAAAAAAAGTCACAATACTGGGAGGTCAAGAGAATGAAAACTACAGACTTGCAGTTCAACCCAAAAATGAAAATTACTCACCGTCAGGCCGTCCAAGATGTAGATAAGATTGTTTGTTCATCAGAACAGATTTGGAGAAATTTAGCATTACATCACTTGCTCACCAATGGATCCTCTGCAGTGAATGGGTGCCGTCAGAATGAGAGTCCAAACAGCTGATAAAAACATCACAATAATCCATAAGTAATCCACACGACTCCATCAATTAAAGTCTTGTGAAGGGAAAAGTTGCGTGTTTGTGATAATCAAATCCATCATTAAGGCATTTTAAAATTATACTGTTACTTCTGGCCAAAAAATGTGTCCATAATCCATAACAACGCTTCCTCCAGTGAAAAAGTCCATCCCCTGTTGTCCTCTCACATCCAAATCCATAGACATATTTGTTTAGAACTGTTTTAGACTGTTTTCGCTTGTAAACACTGCTTGATCTGTGCATTTCTCTTCTGATTCAGATGGAACAACTTTGTCATTGGAGAAAGCAATATTATTGATAGAGGATGGTTTAAAATTAAAAACATCTTAATGATGGATTTGTTTATTACTTGTGAAGATTTTTGCTTTCTGATGGACTGGAGGATTACTAGTGGATTATTGTGATGTTTTTTTTATCAGCTGTTTAGACTCTCATTCTGACAGCACCCATTCACTGCAGAGGATCCATTGGTGAGCAAGTGATGTAATGCGAAATTTCTCCAAATCTATTCTGATGAAGAAATGTCAGAATGTCAGGATGGCCTGTGTTTGTGTATATTTTCCACAAATTTCCATTTTTGGGTGAACTTTCACCTTTAAAGCTTATTTCATTATTCTGAAACTTTGATATGTCATCTAAGAAGCTTTTTATTTCTAATAAATGTGCATCTGCATGCCACATTTATATACACCTCCTAACAATGATGTTCATGAACAATGTTCCTGAAATCATAGAAATTAAATTTCAAAATGTGGGTCTAGAAAGTGAACAGACTTTGTTGTCAGCACAGAATAAGAGAAAACCTTTAACTCTGCAAAACAAGCCAAACTGAAGGAAAAGTTAATCTACATTATCGAACATTTGCGATCTGTAAAGCAAAAGGGCAGCCAGGGGGATCAGCAATTAAAAAAATTGCAAATGTGTGTGGGGGTGAGGGCTTTAAAGCCAGAGCTAAATAATCAACAGCAAACCAACGGAAAATGGGTGGGTGTGAATGAAACAAATTGTTATTAGTATGACAAAGTGAATAAGCTCAGGAAAGGTTAGTCTTTGTTAAGGAAAAAGGCGGAATAATTTTTATGTCACTACATATAACAAACTTTATAATGAATTTCTCTAACACTAAAACCCCGGACCTAAACTGTGCACACTGAGCAAAACCCTTGGTTTATCATTATCATCCCTCTATGGAGCAGAATCTTGATTAATCGATTTCCATTTAATCAAAGGCCCATCCATGTTCATGGTTTCTGGGCAACAAGGTGCACTTGGTAACCACTGGACACGAGATGCTTTCCTTTGACTCTCTTGCTCATTATATGCTTTAACCCCCATTGTGGGATACACTGCAAATGCATTCCAGTAACAATCTCACATTTACTTGGGGTAAAAATCTTCCCCTTGTGAAAAAAAGTACACTTAATTGTATTGAATGTGCACTTTTAGTGTACTTCAAATCGTAAAGGTTTATTTTTTAAAGAAACTGTACTTGGAAATAATGTAATATTAATTAAATAAAAGGTACTTAAAGAGGGTACAATTTCATGTTTCTTAACACTTTTAAAAAGTGCACTTTGTAATAATCTCTAATTAAAAGTTGTAAAGTACATTTTTAAATCATTACATTTTAATTTTTTGTCATGCTTTAAAGTAGGCCTACACTTATTTTGATGTGTTGATAATATAGCACATCTAAAGTACTTGATTATCATTTTTATCATAACTGTAGTGTGTAAATTGTGACCCTGGACCACAAAACCAGCCATAAGGGTCAATTTTTCGAAATTGAGATTTATACATCATCTGAAAGCTGAATAAATAAGCTTTTCATTGATGTATTGTTGATGTATTGATGCATTGATGTATTATATAATGTTTGTTAGAATAGGACAATATTTGGCCGAGATACAACTATTTGAAAATCTGGAATCTGAGGGTGCAAAAAAATCTAAATATTGAGAAAATCGCCTTTAAAGTTATCCAAATTAAGTTCTTAGCAATGCATATTACTAATCCAAAATTAAGTTTTGATATATTTACAGTAGGAAACTTATAAAATATCTTCATGGAACATGATCTTTACTTAATGTCCTAATGATTTTTGGCATAAAAGAAAAATCAATAATTTTGACCCATACAATGTATTTTTGGCTATTGCTACAAATATACCCCAGCGACTTAAGACTGGTTTTGTGGTCCAGGGTCACATTTTATATTACATTTAAAGTTAATATAATTTAAATGTACTAAATTGCAAATCCACCATTATATTTAAATACATGACATACAAGTTTCAATAGAAATTACATTAAAGTGTATTTTAGTTTACCATAATGCTTGTTAGTAAATTAGTACACCTTGCTATATTTCAAAGACAAGAGACGCAATTATTTAATTACATATAAAGATGTACTTAAGGCCTAAGTTTGTCAAAAAAGCAAGAGTTATTAATTAATTGCATTTAATATAAATTTAAACTATAATACACTTTCATTTGATTGTAAATAACAGGCCTAAAACATTACATTCAGTTTGCATTTAAAGGGTTAGTTCACCCAAAAATGAAAATTAGCCTGTATTTTACTCACACTCAAAGCATCCTAGGTGTATCTGACTTTCTTCTTTCAGATGAATCCAGTCGGAATTATATTAAAAATTTAAGTATCTTTTAAATATATTACTCTTTTAAGTTATATTATTTCCATAAGTGTACTTCTTTTTCACAATGTCCTTTAGAGAACAAATCCTGCAGTTTGTTCAGCAGTCACCCAACAATTCATTTACAACTTATGGAGGATCAGAAATCCCCATCAACTCTGTCTTTGATCCCTGCTGAAAGCTGGATCAAAATATAGTAATGGGGAGAGTTCTGGTCACATATACCCATCTACACTAACCTGATATTACTGGTACTGAGACAAACAGAGTTACTATCAATCTGAGACAGCCATTCGATATAAAGAAGAGCACTGCACTTACTGACAGCATCCATAATCACTACCCAAAGTAAACAGTTGGTGTTTATGCAGTGCAGTATTACTCTTCAGCCAGCTTGAGCTGTGTCTGTTCTCACAGGTTCACAGGACTGTAAAATGGGCATCTGTCTTAATAGCATGGAATTCTGTGAAATGCAGAATCTAAAGAGCTGGGATACTATTGCAGCCAGAAGTCTTGTTGTATCTCAGATATGTCTGTATCAGCACTGTATAAAATCTGACAGTAATGATGTGTTTTGGAGGAAGAGTTTATGTCTTTCAACAGCTTACAAAATAACACCAGACCAGTGTTGGACTGACATTTTAGCCCAATTGCAACAAATGATTCTCTCTGCTGTAAAGAAAAATGGGGTTTCTGCATGGGGTACAGATTACAAATCAGGTCAATGAGTCCAATGTTTTGGGGCCTCTGTTTACCAGCTGAGAGGCACACGGTGGTCCGACATATGCAAACAAAAAGCTGCAGAAGTCAAATTTATATAGGCTAGATACCAGAGTGAACATAATTTCTTATAGGGGTCGACTGATATGCGTTTTTCAGGGCCAATGCCGATATTGATTATTACAGATAAAGTAGACCGATAACCGATATTTTGAACCGATATATATGTCTGGTGTAAAAATTTTACTTAATGTCAAAATTTATTTCATTAAATAATAAGGGCTCTGACAAAAACTTTCTTTAAATGCTTTTAAATTATTTTATCGACAAATTGGTTTTGAAGATGCAGAAAAAGCTTAATATCGGCGCCGATAATCGGTCGACCCCTAATTTATAATATTAGTGATTTGATTTCTTGCCACTTGCCACAATATTTTGTCACAAAAGCTCTTCAAGTGCTGTCTGAGAAATTGAGAAAAGTTGACAGGTACACTAATGGATAACAGGGCTGACATTCAACTTGTGGTGGACAAGAACTCATCAGAGAGAGAAGTCTGACAACTTTCTTCCTTTATTTGAGTTTTAATCTAACCTATACAAGAAACATGGAGTGCTATTTGTACCTGCCGGAGAGTCTTCAGCATCTCTGTCGCCTCATCGTGTTTCCCCTGCTTTGCCATCAACATCATCTCTTGTATCATCCCGATGCGCCGCTGGTAGGGAGGAGGAGTCCCGCTGCTCCTCAGTCTGTCTCCTGACCTCAACATTATAGAAGTAAGGATGTCTCCTCGCTCTTTCGTGGGGGTCCGTTTCCATCCCGTGCTCTGAGGGCTCGATCCTGCCTCCTGTCCTGCAGCCTTTGTTTGCTTCGCTCCCATGTTTGCTTACAGATTCTCACCCTGGAAAAGGGCCTCCAGATTGGGCATACTTTCAAAATGATTTCACATTTAACTATTAAAAGTCGTTTAACTGTATGTGAGATTACATTTTGTAAGAAACGAATGAAAATAAGAAATAAGCCTTAGCGTTCCTATAAAGTTTATTGGAGAACAGTGTTTTAAAAGTCGTTCTGCTCACCTTACACCTGTCATCTCTCACCTGGCAGAGAAAATATACTTACATTAAGATCAATGTGAATTTATATAATAAAATTATAAAAACTTGCATCCAATGGTATTTCAGTAAAATCTTTTTCACAAAGTGCTCATTCGCAGGGTTTAAATTATGGGGGAGGTTTGTCAAACCCCCTAATTAAGGCATGAATCACCCCAAAGGAAAGTTGGGGGTCTTAAAAATGTATTTTTACATAAGCATGTATACGTTTCAACAGCGTTCGAACAACGTTTCAGTAACCACAAACGTTACAATCGCGAGCAGAAAACGCCTCTGCATAGGTAACCATAGCAACAGCTGCTCGAGCGATGTTTGTATCGGGCGGTGTGCATCAATAAAACACTGTACTGTCGTTATTTCTCACATTACCATGGATATACACATCACAAATATGTCACAAAAATAGTTTTGTTTTGTTTAAAACGTCTTAACGGTTAATCGCGCTACGGGCGCAAAAAGATCGTTAGGGTTGCGCGAAACGAACCGATTACGCTCAGAAAATTACTTAAAAAGTTGACTCCACTGCGCACATTTCTCATCCAATTTCCCACCAAAACTGTGCTTTACTACACATAACGTTCAACTTTTACATCCTTCACATGTGACACGTGTAACGACGCTTGTTTACTCTCTTTAGAATCCTCCGTTTGCACGCGCAAAATTATTAGGAATTTTTATAAGGCGGCAAAACATGTGTTTCATTCCAAACTACTCGTATTTCAGCCCAATTAGGTCATAAATGATCTCTTCTGTCAAAAACTCCAGTAATCCTCGATTCCCTCAGGTAGGGAACAAGTCTGATGAAGCCTGCGGCATGACCGCAGATTAAAGAAGAGCAGTCCCGCAAACCTCACGAAACTCTCACAGTCCGGAATTCTAGCACGACCTTACGGATTCGTTTTCGGCACGTATTTTTATTTCAGTCGTTATTAGTGCGTGTTTAACATCGCAGTTCCTCCGCAGTCTCTCATACACACACGATGAGTTTAGTCGACGGCGAGCAGTACAGCTGTGAGCAAGGGCATGTCAATATTTACGTCGTCCGTCACTGTTTTCCTCCGCGCTCAAGTCATTCCAGTATTTTCTTCCACGCAGCCCGCAGGAATATCACTGTTCACTGCTACAACGTGCCATGTCGAATTCATTCCCGCTTTGATACGACCTCTCCCCAGGTGTGTCCCGTCTGAGGGCAGGGTGTGTTCAGAGGAGAGCGGCTGAACGGTCTCTCATCACTCAGATGGAGCGGAGAGGCGCTGGGTCTGGACGCAGGCTGTGTGGGAGGGGTGGAGCGGTCGGCAACATCCTCCACTTGTGTTTCAATCTATAGTCGAGAATGCACCACTGCTGGTACAGCAAACCAAGTGGAGCAGATGGTCGCTATTGGGACTGCTCCAGTTCTGCCCTATAGGGGGAATTTCAGTTCTTTAAAGGAAACGAAAGAATCATTCATACGTTTGGGCATATCCCTGTATATTCGTAGTCATAGATTCTCCTCAAGTAATTTTTTATGATTGACTTGTAGGCTACACTACGTTAATAGTTAGCCTTTCTTTACTGACATCTGGTGTTTAACACATGGCATGCCATCAATTTTTTTGTTCTTATATGGAAAATTTGGTATTGAAAAAGTTATAAAACACTTAAACGAATAGTTCACCCAAAATGAAAATGTGTGTGTACTCAGGCTCAGGTCATTCAAGATGTAGATGAGTTTGTTTGTCCACCAGAACAGATTTGGTGAAATTTAGCATTACATCACTTGGTCAGCAATGGATCCTCTGCAGTGAACGGGTGCCGTCAGAATGAGAGACAAAACAGCTGATAAAAACAGCACAATAGTCCACATGGCTCCAGTCATCATGAAGTGAAAAGCTGCATGTTAGTAAGAAACAAATCCATCATAAATGCATTTTAACTTTAAATCATCCGTTCTTGCTAAAACACCAGTCCATAATCTATAATGTGCTCCAGTGAAAAAGTCTAGTTCCTGTTGTCCTCTCAAAACAAAATCCAACAAAATATTTGTTCAGAACAGTTTTTGTAAATGGTGCTTGATCTGTGCATATTTCTCTATTGATTCAGATGAGACAACTTTTCACTGGAGAAAGCATTATTGTGGACTTGGAAGCGACACTTTGAAATGAAAAACACTGTAATGATGGATTTGATTATTATAAACACACAGCTTATTGCTTCACAGGACGTTAATTGATAGACTGGAGTCGTGTGGATTACTATGACATTTTCATCAGCTGTTTGGACTCTTTGGCATCCATTCAATGCAGAGGATCCATTGGTAAATAAGTGATGCAATGCTAAATTTCATCCAAATCCAAATCTGATGAAGAATTTTCCTACAGTTCGGATGGTAAACTTTTATTTTTGGGTTAACTATTCTTTTGAATGTTCTATGAAATATTATTTAAGGTAAATATATCACATAGAAAATGTAAAATATAAAGTAAGTAACTGACCTGACATTGATCCTCTTTCAAGTCATTTATTTGTGGAGAACAGCAGCAGCTATTGGAATACCATATCAATCATAATAAGAAAACAGGAAATTGGAAATGTCATTTTATTTATGCTTTTACAAACATATTTACAGTAAACAGTAAAGCGGCTCATCATCCAGTAGTTTAATCCAAATATATGATCAAAGGTTGGTTTCAAGATGATGATCTCTAATACAGTTCTTTCTTAGTCAAACCACATTTCACTGGCTGACTTTGGCGTGGCCTTAGAATAATCTTTGCAGCAAGCCATTAAGTAGACTATTTGCATTTGGAGAATGTCCACCGACTGTCTTCTCCAGAATATAAGTAAGGAATTCATTATAAAAGGGGTTTAAACAAAGATAACAAATAAATAGAAAAAATAAATCACATTCAAATTCTCTCAATATGGCCTTTCGAGATGCAAGAGTTTGAACGAATCAGTTGGCCATGTCCCCATCGCACACTTGCATCACACCATTTAATAAGATCAACTCCTCATTTCAACTTGCGATTCCTTTTTTTCCTTTTAAGATATGCGGTTGCTACAAATATTCAGTGCTGCATTCAGAAACGGAAAGATGCTTTACTAAAACCATTGTATATTCAAGGAGCACTGATAAGGAAGGTAAAACGTGGATCTCCAAGGGAACAGCCTGTAGAGATGCTGAGCTGAGGTAGGCCCATAGGTACAGGTCTATTACAAGGGATAGCCAGTAGGGGAAGCTTTGTCATACTTATTGCTCTCAAGTGAAAAAGGTGGAATGCGCACATCAAAGTGTGAGCCATCTGTCCTCTCAAAACAGAATGTCCCCCTAAACAAGGAAACAAAACGTGATGTTCATGCGCCATTATTGAAACACAACATAGCTGAGTGAAAAATAGAACGTACATCACATCAGACACACCAAAAACAATCATTCAGCCATCCAGTCTAACAGGTGGAACACATTTCCGGTCGACTTGATTTAAAAAAAATGTACAGTTAGCAATAGCGTGGTTGTAAGAGTACGTTGATAATCTCACCACATGTGTCCACTGGGTGCTTGAAGTGAAACATGACTGCTGTATTGAAATGCTGGCTGTTCTCTTGACAAAACAGGTTCCTGGTGAGATAATGACGGATTGCATTCAGCAAACAAATCGTTTTTTCCATAGTTTTTAATTCTGGATTATGCTTTTGCTAATTAATAACCTTGCCAACCACTCCTCTGCCACGGACTGTTTCCAGAGTCCCTGAGAGACTGAAGATCCTCCAGTGTCTTTCCCTGAGTTGAACCACCTCATTGCCCAGGTTCTCCAGACGGATGCAGTACCGCCACTGAGGAAAACATTAACATATTATCTCTATCAGGTCACCAATGACCATTCTATATATAACACTTTTATTGAGTTATTATTAAAAAAACATAATTAGGTAATTTTGCCTACCCAATACACGTGGGAGTTTTGAGCCTCCTGTTGACATACAAAAACAAGTCAAAATCAAGACCACAAGTTACATTCATTTTACTTCCATACATATTATATATAAATTAAAATTATACAAACAATTCTTCTCTTCAGCAAGCATGCATCAAATTGATCAAAACTGACAGTAAAGACATTTATAATGATACAAAAGATTTCAAATTATCGCTGTTCTTTTGAACTTTCTGTTCATCAAAGAATCCCGAAAAAACATGGTTTCTACAAAAATATTATGTAGCATAACTGTTTTTTAACATCAATAAGAAATGTATCTTCATCAACAAATTAGACTGATTTCTGAAAGATCATTTGACACTGAAGACTGGAGTAATGATCAAATTCAGCTTTGCCATCACAATACATTGCTTAAGAGTAATAAATTACTTTTTTTAACAATGTATTGTAATAATATCTGATCAAATAAACGCAGCCTTGGTGAGCATAGAAGATCATTAAAAAATTTACAGAACCCAAACTTTTCAAAAATAGTGTATAGACCAGGGGTGGGCAAACTTGGCCCTTCCAGGCCACTTTTCTTCAGAGGTTAGTTCCAACCTAGGGCTGCACGATAAATCACATGCGATATTTAACGCGCATCTTATCAGTAAAGCCGGTTCTGTAATCAGCGGTAAATCTCCATCACGTGTGTGCTTTCACATTGAGCAGCATTAACTACACAGAGCCGTTGTTCACTGACGAGCTGCGCAAAACCACGTTCATATTCGCGCAATATTTTGCGCAGCTCGTCAGTGAACAACGGCTCTGTGTAGTTAATGACTAGTAAAACTACTAGAAGGCTACAGGCAGGTGAGTCATATCAGGGTTGGATCAAATCTCTGTAGGAAAGTGGCCTGGAAGGGCCAAGTTTGCCCATCACTGGTATAGACCTTAATCCGGTTAGACGCCATATTGAATTTAAAGCAAATGAAAACATGGCTGTGAGGGATAGACTTACAGCCTTTACAATGGAACACACTATATAAAGGTCCTATATCATACATTTCTCAACTCATAACTTTTAAAACGGTTTAATCATGTTTTTGCTTCTGAAAGATTTTTTTTAGGAAAGAGGTTATATCAGCTAAACAATGGTATGTTGTTAAACAACAGCACAGTCCACTGAACTTCTATCCCTCACAGCCTCTTTTCATTCCTGTCAAAAATGAATTATGGCGCTATGCTGACTAAGGTCTGTGATACTTGATAATGCATTTAGTAAGTTTACTGCAACCTGCAATAAGAAGCTGTTGCAACACATAGCAACCCTCTGTTCTTACTCTCATGCCCATGTAGAAGGGGATGACAGTGACACGGATGTTCTCTGTGGTTTCGCGGTGCACATCTGAGAGCTCCAGCCAGGGGTGGTTCTTCTCCTGCCAGGCCCGTAGGGTGTCTCTTGCAGTAAACAGAGGATCTAAATAAACAGTATAAATGCAATCCATAAGAAAGATTTTATCAGTATTATCAGTTGAATACTATTGCAAAAGTATAAATGGACCAGTTACTTCTGGAGGGGTTAAACATGAGGAAGCGTTCAAACAGCTCATGCTGGATAGGAACTTGCTCAGTGGAGTTGTAAGGCAGGATGTCTTCATGACTCACATAATCCAGACCTGAAAGACACAAGCAGACGAGGAAGAAATGAACAGGATGAGTAAAACAAACGACAGATAATGCAACTTTTATTAAAAAAAAAAAAGAAAGAAAAAAATAAAAATGCTGCCCACTATATAATTGAATATTTAAGTGACTGATCACAAGAGTTTACCTGGAATTGCATACAGGGCCCTGCTATCATCATGATTGGCCAGAAACGTAACTGCTTCAGTCTGAGATCGCTGAGACTAATTGTGACAAAAACACAGTCACATAAGTTGAAAATGGACTCATGATTGCACTAAACTCAGCAAATCATCCAAGACAAACATGAATGCATTGATTATTTAATACTAACATAATAAACAGATGCAGCAAAGAAAAAAAAATACATATATAGATCAAATATATACGCTACTGTTCAAAATTTTGGTGTCAGTAAGATTTTTGAAATGTTTTTGAAAGAAGTCTCTCATAGTCCCCGATGCTGCATTTACTTGATTGAAAAAATACATTAAAAATAGTAATATGGTAAAATATTATTCTTATTTGAATATATTTTAAAGTGTATTCTTTTCATGATATTTTGGTGAATAGAAAGTTCAAAAGAACAACATTTATTTGAAGTAGAGATCTTTTGTATCCTTATAAAAATGTATTTGATGTAATTTTAGATCTATTTTATTTTCAAAAAAGAA